ACACACACACACACACACACACACACACACACACACACACACACACAAGAGGCCCATGAGTAAAGGTTAAGGACCACTTGTTCAAAGTTCAAAGTTTGCTTTATTGTCAATTCCACAATGTACTGGACATACAGGGGAGTTGAAAAGATGTTTCTCTCTAGTCCAACATATAAACATATGCTTATAAAACCAGGGTTACAATGTTAAAACCTTCGTTCTAACTCCCACAGGCTCCGCCCTCTACTGAACTCTATAGGTACAGTTGGAGGAGCTCAATGAATGCACGCCCTGCTGTGACATAATATTGACCCAGCCACACTGATCCTGTTATTCACTGCACAACGTGCCGTTTTGAGCTGAACTTTTGTTGGACACCCTCTATGTATTCCCGTCACTTGCTTAGAAACTGCCGCAATGGACACAGAACAATATATACATACACACACGCACATACATATATACAGACATAAAACATAAAGAAATGGTAAGACACATTGTTGCTTTGTTCAAAATGTACATATCACACGAACACTGTTATGATCAGGGGTGAGAGTATAAAAGTTCTTGCTAGTACTACTACTCCAACCTTCATCATATTGTTCTCCTTCCACCCCCAGCTAGAACTCAGAGAGTGCAGAAGATGGGGCATTCAAGTGCTCCTCGGACAGTCCCTTTTCCTGATTTGGGAAGTCGTCCTTGTGACTCTGGTGTGTTCATGAGCTTTAATCCGTAAAGGGGAAACAACATGAACGCTATAAAAAAACATGTGTTGTATTTTACTGCTTGTACAACATGGTAGCTGTTTTTTTCAGTTGTCCTTAGATTTTGCCAGTCAGGAACTCATTTTTGTAACTATTCCGAAAGCTCTTGAATGCAGCACAAATGCATTATCTCACAATGTTAACGGAAGTGAAACACCTGTAGTGCATGTACAAACAAACTGAGCTGAAAATAAAACCTCCTTTATGTAACTAACTGCATGATGACCTAACGCTAGCAGATGTGTTTTCTTGTTGCAAATGCGATTGTGATGGGTTATTGTACGTGGGTTTTGGACTCCCTAGCACTGAATCTTTTAGTGGTATAAGGAGTACCGGACCGGCCTACTTTCACCCCAGATTATGATCCATATTACTTTTCCAGTCAGTTTATACTAGTCTCTTCAGATTAAAAAAACCTATAAATGTCTGTTGTGTTGGTGTACCATGGCATGAATTGTTTACCACACTCAGATGACGAAGATGGACTGAAGGAAGGAATCTGACTTCCGATTACATGCAGTATATAAATACGTTTTTCAAAAACAGTGCATTTCAGCAGGTGATCTGTGATTATTTCTCACAATTGTCTGAATCATAATGAAGGATGGGGTATTGTTAAATACCGTATTTAAAACATTGTGGTGTCTCTATTAATGAAGACTTGCTAAGCTAGTACTCTTAGCTGGAACAGGAACTTATTTTCACTGACCATGTGTTTTACAGTAATAATAATAATAATAAAGGGAGGGGGCAGCTATGGAGAAGGCCCTGTCGCCCCATGTCCGGTGCTTGGTCCTGAGTGGAAGAGACAGGAGGTTGGCATCAGAGGAGCGGAGCCGACGGGATGGAGTGTGGTGGTGAAGCAGGTCGGTGAGGTAGGAGGGGGCCTGATTATGGAGGGCTTTGTGAGTGAGGAGAAGGATTTTGTATTGGATCCGTTGTGGGACGGGGAGCCAGTGGAGGTTCTGGAGAACAGGGGTGATGTGGTCACGGGAGCGGGTATGGGTGAGCAGGCGAGCAGCAGAGTTCTGGATGTACAGGAGTTTATTTAGGATTTTGGATGATGTGCCGTGAAGAATGCTGTTGCAGTAGTCAATTCTGGAAGTGATGAAGGCGTGGATCAGAGTTTCAGCAGCAGATGAGGAGAGTGATGGGCGAGTAGCAATGAAATATATTTGAAATAATTTCCACTGTATTCCAATGTATTGCTCTTAAAAACTACAATATAAACAACATTGCAAAGATGGGCTAAATTATTGGTGGGTCGGTGTAAATGCTTCCAGAATTAAAAATCTATTTGTTGCCATGTAGCAGCAGAGATTTTCACATTGTTTCGTGCCACAAGGGACAGTGAAGGAGTGTGATATCGTTATCGATCCATAGGTCATTAACAAAATACATTTCAGCCATAAAAGATTTCATGTGGAGTTACTCAATAGCAGTGTATCAACCTGAGATGCTGTACATCTTTTAATGTGTGTTGTTTCATGTGTGTGTGTGTGTGTTTCAGAGTGGAAGTCTGATCGACCGCGTGTTCAACACATACAAGCTTATGCACACCAATCAGACGCTGGACTTTGTGAAGCAAAATGTTAGTAAATCAGGAGCAAAAAGATTTATATTTTGTGAATTTCTGTTTTGCTCCGGATGACCGAGTGATTGTGTCGGACTGAGCAAACAAAAGTCATCCAGGCCAGGCAAAGGGCCAACAGATGTTCTTTCTGGACTCAATGTTGTTGGATTAACCTTATTTTCCCTTTTCTCAAAGGTTACACAGGTTCTGTTTTATATATGTGACCCAGCTACAGCTTTCCATAACACATGAACTGCAAATTAATAGCAGACAAATCTGATCCAATCGTCTCTGAAAATTCAACAGAAATCAATACATCAAAATGTTTTTCAGGGGTGTTCAGGAGCTTCCCTTGCAAGTTTGAGAAAGGAAACCTCCCCAGTAATGCTGTGACTCTTACCTCCCTAAAGCACTCTCGATGGGGCGGCTACAGCCACACTCAGATGACGATGATGGACGCCATCATGTCTCTGGACAACATGGTGGACGAGTCCGATCCTGATGTGGACTTCCCAAACTCTTTCCATGCCTACCAGACTGCTGAGGGCATCCACCAGGCGCACCCAGACAACGGTACCATACACCCTGCAGTTTGTCCTGCAGAACCAAGTCCATGACTTTAACATGACTTCAATATGGTCAGAACACGTTTTTTATTCTTCATCCAAAAACATTAAAATTGTCTCATTATATCAGCATATGTTATAACGCATGATATACTAGATACAATTCAGATTTGTCATTTTGAGTGAATCAGGAATATAGAACTAAGGTTTTGCAAAAGGCATTCTTTGAGCATTTACTTAATAGCCTTAACCTTTGTAAATGAGCTAAAAAAAAGGGTCTTATTTATTTAACATTGTTAATATTATACTACTTGACTAAAACGGTTCTGCACACATAACAATTATGTGTATGCATATAGCCTATTACTTTATGTTTTCACCTATTATTAGTGGAATAGTAATCCATAAAAAAACATCAAAACATACCGCCTGGTGGGCACCTGTAGGCACCCATTTACCCCCCATGGGCCACCCCAGGTAGAAATTCCTAGAACCGCCACTGGATATTTGGATCACATCAAGCTCACGGTAATAAATACCTAAATAGATAAATATGGAACTGGACATCAATCTAACCATGAGGTGGGAGCGACTTTTATTTTTTTTGGAAAAGAAAAGTGAAAGTTAAAGTAAATTATCCTTCAGTGCCCATTATCAGTAGAAGTTTACGACGTGGATTACAACTGATTAAAAATGCAATATCATGAAGTGAAGTGTGACTTGGTAGATTACATCGTTGTAATGCGTTGTTTCTAACGGTTGACTCGCTGTTCTGTGGCTTGTGTCTGGCCAAGATTCGTTACAGAGACAAGTTACATTCTTACAAACTCTCTAGGTTCGTGCGACGTGCATTTACGCAGGGCTTAAGTGTGCCATATTATTTCTCTGAATGGATAGTTACGTGGATGGATTAGGCCTTTTTGGAGGAAAGAACGCCAACTTGGTAAGTAAGTTAAGTAAGTATTTTACCGCAGGAAAGATTGGGTCTTTTCATAAAACTAGGCTGAAAAAGCGCTGTGGTAGGGGCAAACTTTACTGTATTTATATCAGATAGAAAGTGAACACTGTGACAAACTCAGTGTTATGTAATTCAGTTCATGTCCCCTCCGTAGAAAATAGTTGACAATGTATCCATGAAGAACATCCAAACATCAGGAAATGACAAACTTTAGTTATTTTACGCAATAATCCAAAATCCAATGGGAAAATCCCGTTGGCCTTTAGTCGAACCATTGCCATGACAACTTTCCGGTCGGCCTATAAAAACCCCTGCAGCAGTGTTGTTGTACATCCATGCACTCTATAGCAGGGGTCTTCAACGTTTTTTAGGCCAAGGACCCCCAAACTGATAAACCGATGGACTTAGGTAAAGTTAGAAAGATATTGACAGATTCGGACTTCCCGGTTCAATAAATCGTTTCTTTCTAACTTCACCTAACCGAGAGATGGAGCAGGGACCCCGACTATATATATTGTATAAAATTGTGTTTTATATTAAACTGGGCCTAGTGCCATGTATGAACATACCTCTTTATTGTGCATTCAATACTAAGCTATTTAAATAATACACAGGTTCATATGTTCATGTTTTTATTTTAAACATGTGCAAGGTACAGTGAGTAGGGTGGCCGTGCCACTGCCATTTATAAACACACCTTGTCAGCTGAATGACAATATCAACATTGTCTGTCAATTGCATGATAATCACGCATACAAGCTATTCCTATTGACGTTTTAATTTTAAACATAAATGTGGAAACGAAAATGACTGATGGCCTATTAGTGCCACTGCCATGCATAAAGATACCTGTTATCTTTCATACAATAATGGACAGATTCATATTTGGGAAAAAAAATTAAAAATTAATTGTCTAATCAACCCAAAATTTCGCGGACCCCATGCAGTACCTCCGCGGATCCCCTAGGGGTCGCGTGCCCTGTTGAAGACCTCTGCCCTATAGGACGTGAACGCCAGTTTAGGTTATGTTAATAACTTCGGTTCTCAGAAGCTGTACAGGTCAACAGTGCCCGCCCACTTTTTTTTAATGGCTCCCGTTCCATCAGTAAAAAGCCCATTTATTTATTCACTCCACTGGCGTATCAGAAAATCCTGCAGTGAATATTTCCATGGTTATAACGAGCTCCACCAATCAGAGATGTTGCAATTACATTTTAGGATCGCAGGTAGTGTGGTACTTTGTGCTGACATCGCAAATAAAATGTGTTTTTCTTAAAACAAGGTCGATATCATACAGACGTGTGGCTTTACAGGAGCATATACCAGCGTTTCACAATCTCATAGCTCTTGGTAAGTCTACTTTTGATAGTTACGACATTGTGGCTCATAATCAAAATCCTTGATTCAGAAAATGTATGTGATTTTCATTTTCAGAACCTCACTATTGAGCTCTACACAAAGTGGACTGTAGCATGTCTCATTAATGGAGAGCTGTTTCCCCAGATTGGCTTCTAAGATTTAAGATTTATGATTGTAAAGTTATACATTTGGAAGAATTGAGTTTCCAGTTTTTTGTTAATTTTCAGAACCGCACTCATTCACTGTTGTAATCTCCCTACATTGGGAAGTTAAGTATCTTTTCGGGACCAATTCTCTGGTCGGATACATTTTGTTCCATATTTGTCCAACCCAAACCAGTGTGTTCAAGAATCCTCACAAATATGTGTCTAAAAAGAAACAATTTAACTGGAACAAACAAAGAGCTACTGAGTAATCATACATCAGTCCTACCTCCTCCTAGAGGATTGCCACACACACACGCACACACACACACACACACACCCCTAAACACACACACGCACATTAGTGACGTTGGGTTAAAGTGTGACCAGACATTGATGTACACTTTATGCAGACTTACAGTGCAGGTCGATAGCCTTACAGTTTAAACCGGCAGGGTATATAGAGACAGGAGGAACGAAAAACACCACAACACAGACTTCATCTGTCAGCCATGAGTGTCATCAACATCGTATGTGTGGCTTTAATATATAGAAAGGCTATGTTTTCACTTTGATCTTTTTTTACTTTTTTAAATATATATATTTGAACTGCTTTTAAAACTACTTATACTTTGTTTTATTCCGAAAGCAAGTATGTTATTTATCTTTGTAAATCCTGAAAATGTCTGTTATTTCAAACGCAGGGTCCAGACCCGTCTCTGGCATATCGGCCAAATTTGGAGATGAATAAAAGTAAAGAAAAGCAAGACTACAGGAACTATGAGGTAAGCATTCAAAGCTCCTCTTCCGACGATAACCCTTATTTACGGCCTGAACTCTGGACTAGGGACTTACAGACTCAGAAGGCAATTTAACTGTATATTTTCTGCTAACGAGAGACTGAAGGAAGGAATCTGACTTCCAATTAGATGCAGTATATAAATACGTTTTTCAAAAACAGTGCATTTCAGCAGGTGATCTGTGATTATTTCTCACAATTGTCTGAATCATAATGAAGGATGGGGTATTAAAACATTGTGGTGTCTCTATTAATGAAGACTTGCTAAGCTAGTACTCTTAGCTGGAACAGGAAGTTATTTTCACTGACCATGTGTTTTACAGTAATAATGAAATATATTTAAAACATTTTCCACTGGAGCTTTGAGGGATGTACTGCTTTTAAAAACTACAATATAAACAACATTGCAAAGATGGGCTAAATTATTGGTGGGTCGGTGGAAATGCTTCCAGAATTAAAAATCTACATTTGTTGCCATGTAGCAGCAGAAATGTTTACATTTTCATGTTTCGTGCCACAAGGAACAGTGAAGGAGGGTGTTATCGTTATCCTTTGTATACTTTGAACCATAGGTCATTAACAAAATACATTTCAACCATAAAAGATTTCATGTGGAGTTACTCAATGGCATTGTATCAACCTGAGATGCTGTACATCTTTTAATGTGTGTTGTTTCATGTGTGTGTGTGTGTTTCAGAGTGGAAGTCTGATCGACCGTGTGTTCAACACATACAAGCTTATGCACACCAATCAGACGCTGGACTTTGTGAAGCAAAAGGTTAGTAAATCAGGAGCAAAAACAGCAAGTGAACAGAAATTCAGCAATGTGTCACTGAAAACCGTAGTTTAGTAAGAACGAAGAAATTAGCATTTTTCTGAATTTCTGTTTTGCTCCGGATGACCGAGTGATTGTGTCAGACTGAGCAAACAAAAGTCATCCAGTCCTGGCAAAGGGCCAACAGATGTTCTTTCTGGACTCAATGTTGGACTAACCTTATCTCTCAAAGGTTACACAGGGACACTGTTCTGTTTAATACATGTGACCCAGCTACAGCTGTCCATAACACACGAACTGCACATTTATAGCAGATCCCATTGTCTCTGAAAATTCTACAGAAATCAATACTTCAAAAAGTTTTTTTAGGGGGAGCTTCCCTTGCAAGTTTGAGAAAGGAACCCTCCCCAGTAATGCTGTGACTCTTACCTCCCTAAAGCACTCTCGATGGGGCGGCTGCAACCACACTCAGATGACGATGATGGACGCCATCATGTCTCTGGACAACATGGTGGACGAGTCCGATCCTGATGTGGACTTCCCAAACTCTTTCCATGCCTACCAGACTGCTGAGGGCATCCGCCAGGCGCACCCAGACAACGGTACCATACAGGAAGAGAGACAGAAACACACACACTGTGTACAAGTACACACATAAACAAATATATGTATTTACTATCCCTTTCCAGACTGGTTCCAGTTGGTGGGTCTGATCCATGATGTTGGGAAGGCAATGGCTCTTTGGGGCGAACCCCAGGTAGGACACTCACTCTGGAATATGACTTCCTACATTAATGTCATACTTTTTTAAAGATTTGCTTTTCCTCGAGCTGAGTTTTTTGTTTGGACTTCTTCTAAGTATTTATTTTTTGTCATCCCAATACTCATTGTTATTTCTAAGACTCCTCTTCGATCCTTTTTGTCTCTTTATCAAAGGTACGGTATGCTTGAAATCTGATTTGATTATCGTTCTTATAAAAACACCTGAGAACACCTTTACATTTCATATAAAACATATGGAGAGTTATAATGAATTCTTATAGCAAACTTGTGTGTGCGCTTTGCAGTGGGCTGTAACAGGCGACACCTTCCCAGTGGGCTGCAGGTTTCAAAACTCCATCGTGTTCAGAGGCAACACCTTCCTGGACAACCCAGATGAGAAAAACCCCAGCTACAAGTTAGTATTTTCATGCTACATTATCAAAGTCTGTGGATGAATATTTCAAGGTTTTCACACGTTTGCAAAACTTTTTTTGTCAGGTTTTGCATTCTACAATGTAAATAGGACTCTTTAAAACATGCAGTTGTCCTCAATGTGTAGTCCATCAGTTTTAATGAATGGAATAAAATGAAATGTTTTGCATTTGTAGGCAATACGCATTAACAGTACTCTGCTCTAATATCCCTGTTTATTTCAGTACTACAGTTGTCAACAAAGCCTATAGGCTAGTTGTTTGAAGTACTGGGTATTTGTCCTTTTACATACTTATTTTTTTCGCTCCTTAGCACTGAATACGGGATCTATGAACCAAATTGCGGGCTCGACAAAGTCCTCATGTCCTGGGGCCATGACGGTAAGAGACGTCCTCACATTGAGCCACACACAAACGCACGACAACTTTTAATAAAAGAAGAAAACGTGCATTACCATTGAAGTGCCTGTTTATCTACGATACTGTACCTAAACTCTTGCATTGTTGTCTTCAGAGTATCTCTACAGAGTTCTGAAGTTCAACAACTGCTCCATCCCCGAGCAGGTCAGTAAATAATGACATTGAAAACGCCATGTTTGAGTATGCAGTGTTCTCTCCTCTCCTGTGGTGCTTACTGTACAGGCTCAGTTTGGGATCTCACCTTTGTCCGTCTCTCTTTAGGGGTTGTGCATGATTCGCTTCCATTCATTCTACCCCTGGCACTCCGACGGAGACTACATGCACCTGTGCAATGAGAATGACCAGCGCATGCTGCTCTGGGTCCAAGAGTTTAAGTGAGCATCTTCCTCTCTCATGTTCACATTACATTATCACTGCGCTCCGCTTCAAACTGAAGCTGCATCTTCCATCCTTTCCACAGCAAATTTGACTTGTACTCAAAGAGCACCGAGATGCCCGACGTCGACACGCTGAAGCCGTATTACCAGTCTCTGATCGACAAGTACTGTCCTGGAGTACTGAAGTGGTGAAACAGACAAACAGCAACACCATATAGGAACAGAGGGTGATTACATAAGCCGAGTAAATCAATAACTTGTGTTGTTGCATAATAGTAATAACAAAACTGGATGTAGTGTCTCCTGTATACACATTACTAATACTAATTTAACTCAAGTTAATAAATGTACATAGAGATATAACTTGTGATTGTTACACATTTCAGATGAAGAAATGACAAAACATTTATTTATTATTTTACTTTAATGTGATAAAAAAAATGTAAAAGATACTACATCAATGTGTGTGATATGTTTCATTTCAAACATTAACAGAAGAAAAAGAGACATTTGTGGGGGAAAAAGAAAGTAGAGTTGTTTTAGTTAGTTCAGTACATACAGCAAGAGACTAATGTAAAAACACACACACACACACACACACACACACAAGGACTACAGTATGCAACACAAACAGGAGACCAAGAATACCATGAACATACATTTACTCTCTGAATAGGCAACAGAAGCTGCCTTTTATTTTATATTTCTCTCTTCTTTCAACGGGATTTGATCTGCTGACTAGATTGATTGTTCACCATAAGTCCAAACAAACCGAGGAGGTTTTAAAATTCCTAAACATCTGGCAAAGATCTACTGAATTAAGTGACTGCTTTCTGATATAGACAGCTGATGCAGTAATGTGTAGGTGGGAGAATTTAAATAAACTTATTTTTCCATAATTGGCTGATCAAGAACTACAAATATACACATGGTCTTTTTGGTAATATTTCATTAAGGCAGCTAGTGATAACATTCTACTTCGGGATTACCTGCATCTTTTCAAAAGTTTTTCGTTCATCCTTTTTTCCCCGTCTTGCTCTGCATCCTCCTCCTGTGCCTAGTCCTCTTCGTCATCAGCAACAGTGTCTTTCTCCTCACCTTTGCCCTCCTCCACCTCATCTTCACTGCCGTCTCCATCTTCATCCTCTTCCTCTTCCTTTTCCTCCTCTTCCTCCTCCTCCTCCTCTTCCTCTTCCGTGGTGTGCTGTTCATCAGACTTCCCAGAATGGTCTGCAGAGCCTTCAGGTACCTTTTCTGTGTAACTGTTCCCAGCGGCCTCATGAATGAGTGGGGTCCTTTCTGGGTGTTTTTTCCTGTTCTGCAATACCTGGAGCAGACAGAGGGTGGCGCTGCAGGCGATAAGGGTCCAGGTAAGTATGTGAGTGGGAACACCTCTGGCCTGAGAGCGAACCCACCTCACCGCCTGGGCAACAGTGGTGTTGGACATCCGACGTGGAGGCGATTTGTCCTACAGACAAATAAAGAAGACAAGTAATCGATATTCCATGGATTAAAGAATGAACAAGGGACACATCCTCCTCCACTTGATTTCGATCATTTTTAATTATAGCTTTTTAAGTTTTACCTTGAGTCCATACTGATTGAGCATGCTCTCCAGGAAGGTGCTGCCCAGGTGCACTGTGGGATAGAATTCCTCATCATAAACCCTCCTCCACCAACGCTGTGGATAGGACCTGCCAACAAAGACCAGAACAGTAAATATCCTGATGTTTTAAGGGCAGATGTTTGCACAGGAACTCGCTTAGCTAAGAACAATATTAAAATATTGATAAAACTGCTGAAATTATGTTAGTCTCTGTTTATTGAGTTTGGTAGTAATGTCTGAACATATGCCGAGTGATATCTTTCAGTGCACACCAAACAAACAGACAGAGTGAATATGAGAGTGAGAGAGAGAGAGAGAGTGAGCACTGACCCGTCAGCCTTTGGTTCAGTAAACCAGTATCGGTAGCGGTGGGCTCGGAGGTAGGCAGGAGGCTGCTGGTGGAACGGATACCGTGACACATCTGTCTGGATCAACTCTATCACTGCAGAACATAAAGCAACGCTTTCAGAGATCTGGTTGTAATTAAAAACAAAACACTGCCTTCTTTTCAGCGGAAATTTAACACCGTCTCATTTTGGGTAGAAAACATTTTCTGCACTGTGCTCTATGGGGTTAAATCATTCACGTGCCTGAAGCCCTGGTCCAAGGTTGTGCTGTGTCCCACACTAACATCCCATCAGAGATACTTGAAAAATGCATCAACAATAAGTCATATTAACTGTTATTTGGTATTCATCAAAGTGAAGTTGGGGCAGCAGTGTGGGTCTGCAATCTTTCCTGATAGTCGTTTCTGCACATATTGGCTTTTAGTGCAAACAGTAAGAAACAGCTATTTAACCTGCTACTTCACAGTAATCTGGGGCTGGATTCACTTCTTATCACAACTCAGTTAGTGATGTCACAGAGATCAATGGTAAAACACCCTCTGTTGTATCACTACTTTAGGTTTGGTGAGAAGTGCAGTCACTGGAAACGGTTTGGAAATGGGCAGGCACTTTCAAAACATATTCGGCCGGTGATTGGATGAACCATCGGTCACTCAAACTCTTTCCAAAGCGAGTACGGAGAAGAGTGACGACGTCTTTTCCATCGAGAAAGGCCTTCAGTGCCGAACAGTGTTGAATTTAGGGAGATAATAAAGTGACAGAAAACACAGTAAGAAAATAGACTGAACACTCTGAGGCTGCGTACCATCTCTTTTGCCCTGCAGCAGTCTGTACATGAGGCTGGTGAACCACGGAGCCCGTGTTTGATCCCCGAGGGCGGCAAACCACATTTGCCAGTCCAACCTGGGCTGGTGAGGCGTCACTGCAGCAGGAGGTGCACTTAGGTTGCCTGGCTTATACATAAACTCAATCTCCTAAAAGAAGAAAAAAAAGAAACATACGGATAGGAACACCTTACTTAATACAGTGCAGCAGGTCCTTTTTTTAATTCAGTGTTTCATTAAAATTAGCATCGCAGTCCCGTCATCATTAACAGGCTCATTCATGATACGGTTTCTCTCTCTCACCGTCCACGAGACTCCGTCGTTGCTTCCCTCGATGACGACCTCTGGGCGTCCGCCGACCCCGGTCATCCTTCTGAACAGGCCGTACGAGTTGACCAGCTGGTAGCGATCCACCAGGTCATAGGCCCGACGCACTCCCGGCCACAACCTGGCATTAGAGTCGTACTCGATGTAGGTGAATGGCACCTGGGAACAGAAGAGCATAGTCAGCATAAAAGAGTGATCGCAACAAGTTTTGAGGAAACATTTCCGATCAATTAAGAGGTTCAACTACATGACTTGTCAGCTTTATGGTACGAAGTTCAATCAATACTGTATTTCCAATAACACTCACCAGACTGATAGTGAACATAGCAGCGGCGGCAGTAGCAAACACGGTCCACTGGACAGTTCCCCAAAACCTCTTCAGGAAACCAGAGACACACGCACACCTAGAAAAACACATTACGTATACTGCGTTTGTACAACAGCATGTAATACTGAGATCAAGCAGCCGCACAGGGAGAGTCCTACCTGAACATGGCTGCGACCATCTCCCAGGTGAGAGAGAGGACAGCAATCCAGATAGTGGGGATAGTGACCGTCTTCAGAAACTGGTTAAACTGGTGGTATGTGAATGCTGAAAGGACGAAGATGTACATCAATGAACTGCAAAGTGCAATTGTTCCTATGGAAATAGATGTACACACACACACACACACACACCTGTCCTGGAGGAGATACCGTGCTTCGTTGCATTGGGCTTCAGGTCAAAATATACAATTGACCCGAAGATCATGAGAGACCAGACTGCGAGCTCCAGCAGGTAACACAGCCACGACCACAGCTTGGAGTCTGAGCAGATCAAAGAGAGAGAGCGTAACGTTTGGCAGAATGGACACACAACTCAGGTCCAAACTTAAGCCTTTAATGTGTGTACTTCTGGAGGCAGGATTCAGATGTTTTCTTTACTTTAAAATGGACAAAGATATTGTGAAACTATAGTTATAGTTGATAAGTTATACTTAACGATTAAATGCATACTTTATTATTTAAGTAAAGCCAAAACTTTAAGACACGGGAATAGTGATACTTATTTTCCTCATTTTTTAGAGACTTCACAAAAAATATAGCCTGCGTATGTATACAGAAAATGTTCATCACACCATTGCTGCTACTCGTGTCCGCCTTGCGTAGCCAGAAGCGAACATGCTGGTCGTCCAGGAGCGACAGACAGAGGGCCAAAGTCAGCAGGTTGAAGAAATTGTAGTTGCCCGTCAAAATGATGAGCACTTGAAGCAACACCTACACAAGAAAAAACAAACAAACAAATAAACCAATAATTCCTTCTGCTGCACACAACCAGGCAGCTATTTGAGAAGGGAGCACTTGGATTTCTACCCACCTGCAGGTAAAAAGCCCCAAGTCGGAGTCTGCGCACTGGGCTGAAGAAAAGCAGCGGTACAGCGATCTCAATAACAAAGGTCCCCACCACACTCAGCTTCTGCCACCACACCGGCAACTGGTGAGCGAACCAGGCCAGCGAGGTGGGGAGACACTGAGTCTCATAGTGATACGTCAGAGCTGTTCAACACACAGTGAAAAAGAAATGTTATCAACCAGACAAGAGCCTGAGAGCTCTCGATTCTAGTAATGTCTTCAGGGATGTCCCACTTCAACACATGGGAGACATAAAACACTCTTCACTCCTACAGACTCTCATTCGTACCTGTAAGGCCCCACCATGTGGGACAACGAGACGTGAGTTTCACCACACCAGAGGCAAACATGAGCCGGAAGAGCAACCAGCGGAGCAGCCAGAAGGTCACACGATCGTGCTCTCTGACCCCTCGTGAGCCTCTGATCAATGTCAGCGGGGCAACAAGGATACAGAGGAACCCCACCTCCAGAAGCAAGTTGTCCCTGGACAGTGATGAGTAGAAAGAGCAACGGAAAACAATGAATTAATGGAGAAAGTGGCAAGTTAGGGGGCAGACAGAGAGGACAAGGTAAGTTGTCGTACTAGTTTATTGGTGTCTACAGTGTGGTTGCACAGCAGCAGAGACAAACATTACTACGATGTTACTAAACAGTGGACCGAGGACGACATAAACCCGTTCGGCAAAACTATCTTGGGAGCTGCTATTCATTACACGATTGTGTTAATTACAGAAAATAAATAAACAAAGATCCACAAAGTCATCACTCACCATTGGAAGTAGAGAAAAACCTGGCCCACCTGAAATGAGAAACAAAAATGGCCAGTGAGAGAAGGGACACTATGACACCATCTACTGCAAAAAAAACAAAAAAAACTGGGTACAGTCGACACTGTAAAACGCACCTGGTACATGGACAGGTACAAGGCCCAGAGGCAGAAGAACACCACGCTGTCTCGGAGAGCCTCCACCAGCGTTGCGGCGAGGCTCAGCGCAGCACCCACGAGACACAGCAGCTCCATGGCGGTGTGCGTGTCCACACCGAGCTGAGGGCCCAGCCACAGCAGGGTGGGAGAGGACAGCAGCAGCTCCCCGAGAGACTTGCCACTGTATCGCAGCTGCCAGCGAGCAGGCAACAGCCCATCGTTGCCGTACAGACCTAGAAATAAGACGTAAACACGGGAAGAGCAATGTGAATGAACAGGAAGAGTAATTGATTAAACATCATTTTTATACACATGAAGCCATTCGTGATTTCTCTGCGTTTGTTATGTTTCTCCGCTCATTTATTGCTACAAAACTGCTACATATAAAGAAAAAAAAAAGTTTAACATCCGTTGTAAATGTAATGTACTTCAACACCTGGGAATATAAAGTCTGACTAACGTTATGTCATTCATTCACAGATTCAAAGTTTTAAAATGTTTAAAATACATTTGAGTGCATTTTGGAAAATCATGCACTGGAGATGTATGTTGGCACTGTGCCAAAAACAATTCCTTAAATAAACATATGGGCGTGGGCGAGGTCTTTTGGACTTCTGCTGGGCTACTAAAATAAAGCGACCTTAAGAGATAGAAACTGAGGGGGTTGTGGGTATTGTAGTACAATACAATAGTATCATGCGTGCGTCTTTCCAACAGGTCGGGTCTCTCTTAGCTGCAGAAGTCAGCCAGGAGCAGGTAACTCTTACTGACTGCAGCCCAAGAGAAACGTCGTCTGCACCACAGGAAGCCGGAGCGCCAAGTTCCCCGCTAACAAGCTAACACATAGCAGTAGGTTAGTAGTAAGTTAAGGTAGCTAGCTTCCACACAGTTAGCGGAGTTTGTAAATGTCACCTGGTATCTGCACATAGAGAGACACGAAAGCAGCGAGGTAGATGACCGCCATGCTCCAGAGGAACATGCGCCGTGGCAGGATGGTTTCCCCCATGTCTGAGCCGAGCTGCTGGGTGGGGACAGCCGCTGTTTTCCGCTGGTCTGCTCCCGTTGCAGCCGGATGGGAAGCGGGGATAAAGATATCGTCTGGAGACACGTAGCGCGGAGCAGCTTACACTAAAGGCCTCCAGGTGTCGCTGCAGGTATTTGACCGGTATGCGGCATTCACGTGGCATCGGATGAAACAAGTTCAGTCTTGACATGATGGTTTTTCGTTGCCTTGTTTTTGTTGCAGTCCTACTGTCAGATGTATTGTGTTAATTGAGAGTGCATAGTTAGATTCCAGTGGTTCTTAGACAGCTGACATCTAAACTTGGAACCACTGCATCATATACATTTCTACTTTATTCCTGAATTAAAAAAATATTAAAAGTCTTAAAGTCTCATCACAGATGATGGTCAAAGAGATGCATCTTGGTTTGACTGAGTTTATTGTGCAAGACTTACCAGGCTAGCATACAGATTCATGGCAATAAAAAGTGGGTCTGCATGCTGCTAATCAGAAAGCAAAAGCATCTAAAGTATGTACGTTCAAGTTTTAGACACAGGTATTGAAAACTGATCAGACAAACACAGGGTACCACGTGTTCTCCGACACAGGGATTCATCATTGCACAGTTAAAACAAGCTGTATGTTTCATACATGTTATGCTACAAAAATACTAAAATCTGACTTTTGAGAATATTTACACAGTTTATTTTCAGGTGGCACTTACACCATTAGATGCTTTTTTTTCCAGTACTGGACATAAATGTCAGAAATGTAGAGATGAGTAGCAGGATTATCACACACAACATGAGTGCACAAGCAACAGTGATGAAGCTTGACAAAGGTATGCCAAATCTAACAGACAGCAAGAAGCATCTAGAAGCGGAACTGATCCCAGAGCTGCAAGTGAAGTACAAACTGCTTACGGTTTAATTCAGTCAAAACCATCTCTAATACTTTATCCTATGAAACCACCCTGGTGCTAGACCCCACAGGGACACATTTTACCCAATATACCCCTCACCATTTGCACTCTCACTCCTGTATAAGTTAATAAAAGGCATACATGCCTTTTAATCTGAGCATTTTAAGATAAAGCATTACAAAACTCTAATAGTTGAATTAATAAAAATAATTACTGGAATAAACAGTGATGGCTGTTGGAAAGGAATATTCGTGCCCTACAAAAATACATGCATGTGCCAGTAACCCTTGCCTTTTTTGTTTCCATTATCAGTATGGATGAGATCATTATTTGACACTTTCTGCAGACATTTGACCACCTATAGGATACTGCCTGTGAGCAATACTGTGACAGTAAGTAGGAAGATTATCCATCGGCATAAAATGTAATTTAGACATTAAAACTGGACACCAATTAACAAATAGATAATTATAACTAAATGGCCTCACGGGGTTCTCTGAGTTGTTTTGATTCAACATTTCCACTCGAGTGAGGCTTTTCTATTTTAAGGAAGAGCACCAGCTTTGTTAGTCATTATGTGGCCACTTTAAATGATCTAATGTCATGCAATATCCCTTTTGGCATGGCCCTTCAATGACTCCTCCTGTGATCTGTAGAGCTGCCGCACTTGTGCCCACACACAAAGGAATGGCCAACATACTGTAGCTGTCGGTGGCCCCATTATGGACGGATGTAATACATATACAGAGGGTCCTTCGGCTGTTGTTTTTGAAATACCCAGATTATCTAATACCCAAAGAGCAACATCAGTATCTTCTGCACAAATATTCTCTTTAAAAGCACAAAAAAAACAAAATGCACTACCATATTAATCCAGACTGCATATTTCTGAGTGTATGAGAGTAATTGTTCTTTATTGCCTGCGTTGAAACCTGTGGGTCTATTACAGAGTTTTAGGGCAGGCGTAAACAACTCGTATTTGGACGGCTAGACTCAGAAAGCTTGTTCACTCAGATTGTGTGTCCTGCAGACAAAGTGAGGCTCTGTGTTTCATTGTCATGTCGGCTCATCTGTGGCACTAGCGCAGGTCTGTCCGATATTTGTCGTTGAGGGAGCGGGCTCCGGGTCCGTTTCCCTGACACAGATGACGGCATCACCACTCACATTAATGAGACACTGAGCCTTGAGGAGAAGAAGAAAAGACAGGAAGAATAAACCACAACACCGCTAATAACTGAAGTCCGAGGATGCAGACAATAGTTCATTGTGCTTTCACGTATAAATGGACTTAGAGGTAAATACTTCTGTGTGTGTGAGATTACCTGGTTCTTGTTTGGATTTTCCATTAACATACACTCTTTCATGCTGTAAGACACCACTGCATTGCCACCCAGGGCTGCTACATGGGCTCGAACCATCGAAAACACCTCTGCTATGAACGTATGGAGGAAGCCACTGACGCCCCCTTCCTGCAGAGGAAAAACACAAACAATGTAGACACTTTGTACAATATCATGGGGCCTGTGCACGCGTAGCCCGTTTCTGCAGACGTACCTCCCGTAACGATGTTGTCTCCCTGATAAAGAACATGTTGATGATCCCGAGGTATTTAATGATGCGTGTCCCGGGGAGGAAGGAGAGCGGCGTCATCTTCACCACAGTGACGGAACTTCCCCTGAAAGAGCGGTTGGACCGCAGCGAGCGCGAGCGTCCCTCAGGCAGCGGACTGCAGCGCTCCAAAGATGAGACTGCAGGTTCAGAGAGAGCATGTAGAGGTCCAAAAGAGACGCGAAAAGAAAAACAAGAGGAGGGAAGGAGGGGGGGACGAAAGAGAATGGAGATACCAAAAAAAAAACATTCAAAAATAGGGGAAAAATAAAAGCAGATATGAACTCTAAAGCAGAAAGAAATGTGAATGTGGAATGTACGTGCAAAAAGGCAACCCTGTCAGCATTTTCACAGCAGGAGTGACATGTGTGCACTTATCTGCAAGTATGTCAGTTGTCTGTGTGGATGTGTGGTGCCAAAACAATCACTTGGAAAGCGTGCGTTGCCATGCGTGGCATGCAGTTGAAGCAAACGGACAAGACAGTTAAACAGTGTCTGCAGACAGACAGACAGACAGACCTGGGCACAGCTGTGTATGTGTACAAGTGTGAGTACAGGATTTTGCAGTACAGTGAAGTACATGAGAGAGTATTTATATCCGTTTCAATTTGTGAAAGAGGCTTGAGAGAAATGGAGACGGACAGAGGCAGCTGTGAGCTGAGCTGGGCACATGTACACGAGCCAGAGTGTGAAAGATGCTCCGTCATCTTACTGCAAATTGACCTGATGGGCCTTAAAATGCATCAAACCAGGAACCTTCAGAGCCACACATTAGATCGTAGTTTACTTACTGTGTACCGGACTAAAAATCATACCAGGTGATCTTGCAAAAACATCATTGCCCCACCTACCAACCCGCCTGCCCCACCTTGATCTCTACCACAGTGTTCACATTTGTATGTGAACAGTTTATCTACAAATCATGGGATGTCTTCTCAGCTTCAGCACATTCACTAGAGAAAAATCAAAGGAATTCTTTTACTAATCATCAAATATCTCCAACCCATCCAACCCTTACACATCTAAACAGGTACAAGTAAAAAGATTTTAAAAAAGACTTAAGTTGTTATCGTGGTGGCCGCGGCTGCAGACATTTAAAAGCCAAGCTTCTGATTGGGGATCCCTCTGAGGGGCGGGGCTTCAACGTTCACACTCTAGCTAAAAAGCTGGTGCTTGATTTACAACGCTCCGCCCCCCAGCGGCATGCATGGAGGGGTGTGCGAGTGTATGTATGCGAACATTTGCATGTGTGTGTGTGTGTGTGTGGGGGTGGGTGGGATTGCTTGTGAAACGGTATTTGTGGGTATGATCACCAGAGTGTGCTAGAGACTGTGTCCTCCTACTTGTCTTAACTGATCCCCGTCTCATGGTGTGAGCTTTCAGCCTAAGCAGCTCTAGCCAGGTGCTGCATCTGTCTGCAAAGGAACCGTAATCAACGAAGGCAGCTGGAGAGAACACACACACACACACACACACACACACTCACACACACACACACACACACACACACACAAAAAAAAGCCCACAACCAAACATACACAAACGCAACGACGACAACAAGAGAGAAAAATAAAAAGTAAAAACAGGACACAAAAAACGAACAGAAAACAACAAAAGTTGATGAGGTTCGGGAGTGGTGCAGGATAACTCTGTCCGAGATGAAAGGATGAAAAGGTAAAAAAAACAGTGTGGTGGTTTTGGTAGCAGGGAGAGATGGTCGAGGGAAAGGGAGCTCACCTCTGGATGAGACGTTGGTACTCTCTGGGAAACCTGTCACACACAAACATCAAAGTCTACCTTTGCACTTGGCAGGGAGTGGAAAGGGTTCAGGATCAATCCCTTGCTCTTGCCACAAGGCTTACAACGCATGCGTTACTTAGCTTTCACCTGCGATCATAGTTCTCCACCTAATCAGTACTTGCTAGAGATGGAGCAAGCTCCTTGCTCTGTGTTCTTTTCATGTGAATGAAAAGTAAGCCATGCGGTTTTAGGAGCTTAACCACACACGGTCATCTAAGTTCAGACCAAAGGAGAACACACTGGGCTATGACACATCACGGTTTGTTTACCTGGTGAACGAACCATCACCAGCTGATTTTGGCAGAGTTTTGCAGCTGGGGTGAGTAAAGAGACTGTACCTAAAGTTGTTAGTGGAGGAGATGGGCAATGCCTGTTAATGAAGCAGGGCAGGGGGGGCAATTAAAAAACAATTGTTTGAGACTACCTGGGATTTTGGGTGTTGGCTGACAGTTGGCGGATGACGAGTCTGCACATAACTCCATGGAAAACTGCAGCTGCTCTTCGGTCTCGCTGCCTCCTGAAACGAAGCGCATATAATCACTCAGGTGCTTTAATCTGATTTCAAACACAACAGAAGTGACGTTTCTCACATATAATGGGACTATATGTCACTCGGCTTGTGGTGCACAAAGCGCCAAATAAATACATTTGAAAAACTCAACAGAAATGTCTCTTCCCAGAAATCATGAGCTGGTTACTTTAGATAACCTACAGACCTTTTTGTGAGCAGTTTCCTTTTCCCGACATGAGAGGAAAAGTGTGTATTTTTGATTTTAGGGTGAACTGACCCTTTAAAGTAAGCTTCTAAAACAAGACTAACAAGTGTTGGTGAAGGTATTAAAGACTGTCGGATTTTGGGTGAGCAGAAAAAACAAAAAGATAATCTCTTTAACCAGACAGACCTTTGGTGGGGGGCTTGTCCGCCGTCTTCTCCTGAGTCTGGTCTTTGTCAAACGTCATGGCTACCGCTGTCACTGCGACCTGAATGGGAGGCAGAGTAGATATAAGAAACGATTAAAATTGACTTATCAATTCTGTTTTGTTTGCAATTTCACTAATCAGAGATGTCCTGAAACCTCCCACCTGTATGAGTTCTTCCTCTGGCACTGCTACAGTGAAGTTCAGCTGACACAGACAGCAGGGGATCATAGAGCGCAACTTGAAGTAGAAACTCTGAAACAAACACAATGAATTGACTTGTAACAAGTTTCATTATAAACAGTGTATAACAACGGATAAACATGGAACCACATACGGCTTCTTACCTTTAGAAGATTCTCACATAGGTCAGTGAAGATCTTGTTCAAGCCTTGGTTAGTAAGATTGGCATTACTCAACCTAAAGACCCTCACAGATGTAAACATCTGTAACACAAACACATAGCTTAAACTTACCAAAATACACACAAGGGGCTTCATTTCCTAAATTCGTACTCTGCACTAATGGCAGTTTGTTATAATTAAGTGCAAATTGTAGGCGACTCTACAGATTGAAAAATACTACATGTACACAATGGCATAATCTACATGTATGAGAAATTTTTGTTCGGTGAAGATTTGCTGTAATGTGTACAGAAAGCGACACGATATCATGTAGAGTTACCTGAACTCCTGAAGTCCAGTTGTGAATCCCAGGCATGATCTCAGTGTTGCAGCTGTAGAAACCTGAAGATATGAAAGTGGAAAAGGCAGGTGACAGGTGATGAAGCATAGCGACGTTTGTTAGCGCCTCAACCCAACTGGGAGATAGCTAACTTAGCATGTGCAGTGCAGAATGATGCACTGTGGAGTGTGTAGACGGCGCACACCTGTGGGGGTCGGGGCATCGGTGAGGAGGGAGTGGATGTCCTCCACAGCATCAGTGTCGTCGATCTACGGAAATGACAGCAAATATGTTCACAAAGAACAGACTACTTGTCCATGGAAACAGCTGCGTATGAATGTCTTCAGTTGTTTTTATAGAAACACACCTCCAGGACAAAGGCATCCTTCTTGCCATGGGAGAGGTCCAGTTCGGACACTTCATCTGAGCTTTCTGAGTGGGAGCGGAAAAGTCTGGAGCGTTGCCTCGGCTCAGGAATCGGAGAACCCACCACTTCCTCCGTCAGCTCCTGCAAGCAAAAGGGGGGGGGGGGGGGACACAAAACCTGAGCGGACAGGACGTCAAAGTGAACACCAGAACACCACAGCAGCTGCACATCTGCATCTCACTAGTGCCCAGACTGTACAGGTAGTAGAAAGTCTATGTTAATAACACACCTCATGCTCGCACTCACTCGAGTACCCAAATAAGATTCACCATTACACACACAGACACACACACACACCTGATGACACACACACCTGATGTTAATTTGAATATGGATCTGAAAGAGTAAGGAGTGGCAGAAACAAACACACACACACACACACACACACACACACTTTAAAACACATACACAGGTGAGAGTGTGAATGGGGTAGATGGTCACAATAAAAGCACATCAACACAGATAAAATGAGTCTACAGTGGGCCGCCCTCGAGAGGTGACACCGGAGTGGGTTACACATCTATCTGTTCCCAAACGTCCCCAGTTTAGAACGGTCATACAGTTACAGTAAAAGTGGTGTAGTATTGAGATTAATATAGTGAAATATTTGTCATGCTTTGCTGTGTCTCACAGCTAAAAGTTGCCGTGCTCAGTACCATGTTTATGCCGCAGAATACCTCAGGGTCCAGGGCAAATAATTTCTTTAATGACCAGAGAAAGACAAGAGGGGTAAGTTTTTCATGATTCACAAAGAACAGACTACTTATAATGTGTGATTACGGACATGATTGTAACACTAGAAAAGAGAGAATTAATCCCAAAATAAAGGAAACAGTTCAGCATGAAATCGGTTTGTGTCAAAAGATTGACTGGACTTAATGTGCAAAATAAAACCTTATGTGTGACACTGTATGTGACAGTCACAGTATTTAATGGCCATAAACTGCTGATATTAGCCCTAAAAGCACATTCAATTGACCTAAGATGCAGGTAAATTATTAATATTCCCAAGATTTATCAGGGCACATGCTAAGTTCCCAACACATCTTAACAAACGAGGTTGAAACAGGTTCCCAAAGTGTTCTATTTACAGTATGGGCTGTAGGCTAACACCCACATGACACCCTGGCTTCCGGAGTGTTGAATGAAAGAGTGCAGAAACATAATTAGCAGTGGAAACCTGGCCTACTAGGGGAGAATTTGCAGACCTAATCACAAAGCTAGTCCTTCCTCGGATTGATTACTGTCCATGCATGTGCTGCGTGTCTCACCGGAGGGTTTATTTGATACAGCTCTTTGTTCTTGGCTATGGTGTCATTGATCCTTTTCTGGATGGTGAGGATGTGGTGCTCATTGCTGAGGTCACCAGGAGTCTTCCCCGCAATCTGGATGCCCCCTGGTGCCGGCAGGGCTGTTAGGTACACTCCTGTAGCAGACTGAACACACACACACACACACATCTATTTTAAAGGAGTTGCAGCAAACACTTGTGCTGCTGATAAAGCCGTTAACCTAACATGTCAACCTACAGCCAGACCCAGAAGCATGTTCTCTCCGACACTGATCTGTATGTGTAAGCCGAACAAAGAGTTCATGCTCCGCAGCTTCAGCTTGTTCATCAGCTGAGTGTGCAGCTCGTACTCCATGAAAGGCAGCAGGTTGGAGATGGCCGTCGCGTTCACTTCGCCCTGAGCCTTCTTTTTCAGACGGCACAGTCTAGAAGACAGCAAACACTGGTATTTACTCACTTTGTTCAATATCTTAGCTGTGAGGCTCCTCCAGGAGGAGGCCTTCATTAACTGTGAGGTGTTGTACCTGGCCTGGATCAGGCAGCCCTTTCCCGTAACAGCCGCTTCTGGTGGCAGGTCGATTGTTGTGAACAGCACATCGGGAACCTTTAAAGAAAAACACAGCAATTACTATAATTCATTTATACTTTCACTACTCATGTAGGAGTCTGTGATTCAGTTAAATTATATTTGAGACCTTCTGTCGCCTGCAGATGTAACAGTAGGTGAGCTGGGCGGGAAAGGGCATGTTGAGCTCATCATACGGGATGTGGCAGAAGCCACAGCTCGGGGGAGACGGCTCCTCAAACCTGGAGAACAACACACACACACACACACCATCTGGTATCAGCCTCCATGGGTCAATTCAAGCTGTGCTGTATATATACACACTGTTACCATACGAGGATTCACAATCAGTTAGCTCAGTCTTTGAATCATGACAACCTGTGGTCGGCAATTCCGATGTCTAGGCAGCCTTCACGCATATACCGAGGATTCAAGATGGCCGCTGTGCCCGCTGCTGACAGGATACACACCTCCTCGCTGTGTTGAAGGGAGGTGGACAGATCAAGAGAGAAAGAAAGGGAAGAGGATGAGAACAGGGCATGAAACTATGTGTTTAAGACAAATGAGAAATATTAGGCATAAAAGAGATGAAAAGAGAAATGCTTTCCCATGTGTGCTACTACTACATACCAGATGCTAGTGCTCTCGCTGTAGCCCACAACAGCATGGCAACCAAGAGCTTTGGCGTGAGATTTGATCTCCTGGCGAATCTCCTCCCACCAGGCGTCGCGAGTCTCCGGCTCATCTGCAAAACACAACATTCTGAATGATCTATCAAAACCTCACTAAACACTGAAGTCTAACGATGAGGTAACGCTAAACCCAACTAACTGTTGTCAATGTAGTGACGTGAAAAAAAAGACAATTACAAACATTCCAACAGGAAATGAGAGACAAGTCTGTATCTAAACTGATTGCTTTGATTTAGCAGAAAATAAACAGACGTCACAACAGTTCACTTTGTATTTTCTGGTACATGATTTAAATGGTGGATCAAAGCAAGCCAAAACCAACCATCAGTTTGTGAAACAAGGTGACAATAATGAAAGGAGAGGATGATGATGAAGGCAAAGTCAATGGTTAGGTTACTTGTGCGTGTTCTCACTGGCATTCCTGAAATGAACGTTATCTAAAAACATATCGTCTCTCTCATCGATGTCTCCTTCAGCACTTAGGATACGCTGTGCCTGATGTGTTCCAAGTGTTTCCTACCCTGGTGACAAAGGTTTTACTTCAAAAGGTATTGAGCCTTCATCATACTTAGTCTAAACCATGGGTGTGTTTCAATAGTCTAATAATGAGGCTTTGCTCCAATAACACCTCTGTTTTATTAACATTATTCATGAGAGCCTAATTGTTGCCAGGTGTGAGATTAATCTCACTCATTTCTGGATCTCTGAACAAACAACACATGAAGGAAGCTACATTAGAGTATTGAGCCGCACCCAATGACTCCCTGAGAGGGCCACATGCGGGCGAGCGGACGGAGCCCCCCCCCCCAAAAAATAACAGAGAGAAGCTCATCTTCCGGGTGAGATGGGGGAGATGACTGAATGAGGGGGAAAGAATGGGAGATCAACATCAACTGAAGAGATGAAGAACAATGACTGATGGCCAGGCTACAGGCCCACCAGGTGGGTTCCTTTAAACCAGAGCCAGCATGTCACACAGGCACAGGCTCACCAACGTGCACGCTCATGACCATGTGCACGCTCATGGGCAGAGAAGGGCCATATTCATTCACCAGAGTCCATAAAATCTAGATTCAATTTTAAGTGATACCATATTTCCTCCATTCCCCGAGCTCATATCTTTCCTTCCATCCCAAATCCATATATATATATATTTTTTTTTTTCCCTCAACTGCCACCCATCAAATCAACCTGTCTTCCATGCATCCATCCATCCCTCCTCCTCTCTCTCTGTCTCCCTCTCTCTCTCAGTATGAATACAGCCCAGTGAGTCAGGGATGCACATGCCCGGTCAGTGGCTCCTTGTCACAGAGTAAACCTCCTAAACCTTCTCTGGTCTAGACAGGTTTGATTCAGGAAGCGTTAGAACAGCGCTGGGACAATGTCAAGGAAGCTCTACTGTCAGCGGGAGGAGCTAGGTAGGGGGGGGGGGGGGGGGGAGCCAGGCCAGGCTGGATGGGGTGTGGGGAGGAGACAGCACATGCTCAACTCAGCTCAGCACACAGATTAGAGGGAGGAGAATGGCAGCTCACTGAACTCAGTATCCAGGTCATGTTGGATTTGTTTGTGGACGTGGTTAAATGTCAGTGTTGGGTGCACGCTGAACTTCAGTGAGCGGCCATGACTCCCGTGGGTGAGAGCAGTAAAAATGGGAGGAAATACCTGCAGTGACTAGACTATTCCAGTCTAGCAGTTTGTATGAGCGTGTGTTACCCAAGGCTGGGCCAGAACACACACCGTTAGTACAGAAAAGAGAGAAGAAGAAGAGACAGTCTAACAAACAAGCCCAGCACTCCACTGTTACTATGCAAAGACAGACAGCACTTCACAAACACTATGCAAAGACAAACTATACTCAGGCCTACACACACACACACATACACTCTCACAAGAAGAAGACTGACAGGGAAAAGAGGAGAATAGAGAGGAGTCAAAGCTAAGATTTAAGGAGAAGATATACTACGTCTAATACAAAAAGGAGCATACCGTAGCAGTAGAACTCCAGTAGTCTTTCTAATTTAAAAAAGGTGCCCTGTAGAGTTTTCTTGTAAACAAACATTTTGTTTCTCACCCAATGCATGTTGAGTATCTTTGAGGTCTGACAAACTTTACTCATAAAAGCTGATGTTTTAAAATGATGACTCATGGTCAGAAACTCCACAAGGTGCCTTTAATGTTGCTCTGTCGTTGATGGAGTCGAGGCATTGCGACAGTGAACAGGGCTCTTTTCAGAATGGTTTCCAAGTTATAAATCGCATTGGCTTGCTTATTCCTTTATGCAGATCATCAATAAAATCTTTTTTGGGTAGCTCATTCCCTGGCTAACCCTGAAAAGAACCCTGTTCATCCTAACCCAGCTCTCCCCTCTACCTAAACTCTCAGACATCCTTCAAATCAAAGAGATCAAAGAGCATTACGGGGAACATTACTGAGGCGGTAAAGTGGACTCAGCAAATGTCTTATTGTCCTCAATATAAATCTCATTAAAAAAAGTCTGCTTAATACAAGAAAATATAAGAATTTCGACACAGAGATAAGAAGCCTTTCGACCAACTCAGGAGTGTATATAAAACACCACAGCGCCACCTGCAGCCAACACCAGACAACAGAAGCAGCAGGCAGCAGATTGGAGCCATGCACAACTATTGCACCTAACCTCCAGGGGGCAGCACCACAGCGACCAAAGCACGCACACGCACACGCACACGCACACACACACACACACACACACACACACACACACACACACACACACACACACACACACACACACACAGCCATCACATGACCTGTACAGGCTATATATATATATATTACACAAAGCCAGTGAGTCAAACCACAAGGTGAAAGTTGCCCCTATCCATGACACGTTTTGACACATCTGATGATAGCCTATGCTAACTTTACTTCCTTGAAAATGCTACAAAGTTGCAGCCTATGAGCAGGAACAGCTTTCACCTGCATTAAGACTTAAGTACATGACTGATCATTTCTCCAAACAATCAAACATTGGGACTCGGACCATTCGTGGGATAGCTGGTCAACACAAGAGGATAACGGGCAGCATTGACTAAACAGCACTCACACGACGCTGGAGGTCGCTGGAGGAGCTCAATCATGTCGTTTCACGGGACAGTGGACGAGCTACATTAGGACATCGTGTGTTAGCGTGTGTGCTGCACTCACCGGGGTTGTGAATACGGTCCAGTAGTTTGACAGAGCGAGCGCTGACCACTCCACCGACATGAACCAGAAACCCAGGTGGAAAAGACGCCAGAGTGAAGAAGGGGAACTCCTGCAGATAGAAAAAGGCTGAGTCATTTACAGCAAGGGAACACACACTCCGGACTGTATCTGTGTGTGTTTGATCATATGTGATGAGTGCTCGATGGATGTAACATTTTATTAGTTTATATTTTTCAAAATGTTTGATTTAAAACACCTGTTTTCTATGTACGGTATCTTTAACTGATGAGTGTAGACTTGAGTGATAATATTGTTAATGTTATACCAGGAAAAGTGCCAACATGCAGCAAAGATTAGGTGTTATGGTGTCTTCCCCCCCCCCATGCAATACCCCAGAGGAGTCCCCACTCACTCCTTTCAAGCCTACACTTTAGAGCATTTTAAATAGATCTGGAAGTGATTGAGAAACTGTATTTTCAATAAAGCCTGCCTATTTTGTATCACTCATTTAGTGATTAATTCAATCCTTACAAATCTATATAAATGCATTAATTAGGTTTGAAGTTAAAAGTGAAGAACACACACACACACACAAGGTCCTGGCTCAGGACTCTATTATACATGCTGTTCTGTCCTCCGACATGACATTTTGTCCTCAAATAATGTGAATGCAAATCAATCCGTTAGCGTCTTAGTCCTCATCCTAGACTGAAGTGATGACCACTTGTACAGAAAATCTGAGGGACGTTAGGATTTCCAACCATGCAGGTGTATGTGATGAATGGCTTTTCATGGGAAATAAACTACCAATAGGTTTATTTCTTCTCCAGCACTCCAGCAAGGAAGACGACTACTAATTTGACTGACAGCTCCTCCCACTCCGAGCAAGGAGGCAAGAATGAGGTGATGAGGTGAGCGTGCTCATTCCCGTCGTGGACACAGGGAAACCAAAATCAGACTCGGGAGAGAGAGAAAGTCAGAAAGGAGGGCGGTGCTTGACAGGAGCATCCAGAAGGCGCACACACACACACACACACACACAGTCACAAACCCCTTCAAACTTGAAGGGATCACAGCTTCTAGCCTCCAGCCCTCCGCCAAACATGTCTGTAAATCTTTTAGAGCGCGGTAGGTGCCGAGCAAACACACCATTTTGCTCAGCCCAGCCTGCTCCTCTTAGATCTACATACAACTAGAGGAGGGACGGGGTTAGGAGATGATTCGGACTTGGTGGTGGCCATCAGCTGGTCAGGGTGTTTTGGGGAAAGGTGGAGACACAGAGAGAGAGAGAGAGAGAGAGAGAGAGAGAGAGAGAGAGAGAGAGCGTCACACTGATGGGACATACCCTGGCGTCTAACAATAACCCAGAGGAGGTCGCTCCCTGAGTAGCACAAATGGTCAAGAGGACAGAGAAAGGGAACATTACTTGCTCTTTCAGAGACCCACTCCCCATTAAACACTGAAGTGCAAATTAGTGATATTTCACAGAGAATGTAGCCGTGGGAAAATTAGTGAGCGACACACAGTGTGTAAGTGACTGTTTGTCCTACGTGCAGACATCCGAGGCCGGTAACTGGCAAAAAATGCCACGCCTAGCTAGCTGCTTTGGCTTGTGATGCCGCTTGTAGTTAATCAAGACACAGCCTGAACATAAACACAACGTATGTGTACGTGAAATTCATTGAAACGGAGCACTTGAACTCGTGTTCTGCCGTGCATGTCAGTCTCAAATGTCTGCATATAGAGTGAGTCGGTGTATACACATGTGAGCGTTGAGTCATTGTACCCTCTGCTCTAGAGCCGTCTGCGTCTGCTGTCTCAGCAGGGTCTTCAGAGGCCCCGCCTCCTTCCCGACGCTGCCCCCACTGCCCATTCCTGATCACAGAGGAGAGTCCGGCTTCAGTTTCGGCACTTTCAACACACAATGGACTAAAGAGCCGGTCAATCTGTCGTCAACACGTTGATCATTACGTTGCAGTATTAATGTTATTATGACAAACCAAGTGGAAGCAGCAGCTGGAATTGCACACAGAAACATTAGATTGAGAACAGTCACTAAACCTGCTTCTTCCTCATAATAAGACTGCCCTACTCAGAAGATTTTCTCTCATTCAGGCACGAATACTGGACCTAGTAGTTTGGGTACGCCTGATTAACACACCTAACCACATGGTGGGGTGGGAAAATCCTGAATGGGACTCAGGACTATCAGTCAGTGGTGTAGCTTGTGGGCAGTTGCACCATGCATGCTGAGTTATTTGTTCCAGTTAACACCAGTCAAGTCAATCTGAACAGTCCTGCTGGTGACCCAATATACAGGAGAGGTGCCAACACTACGCTGTTGTAAAGTTCTGTCACGTGATGACACACAGCAGTCCTACTATACCGGAGGCTGCCAGCAGCAGGTCCTCGGTGAAGGACACGCTCTTTCTCAGCAAGACAGAGTCTGAGTGGGCGGTGGAGGGAGGGGGCGGGGTGGTGGCTCTGGGAGCAGAGCTGTGACCACAGCCCACTGAGCCAGAACCAGCAAGGGACAGAGTGTCTGTGGAGAGGGTGGGGGAGCTGGGGCAGAGGAAGATCCCCGGCCTGCATCTCACTGGCTCCACTATCCAGCGGGGGGGAAAAACAGATGAAGGGGTCACAGAAAAACAAAGATATGTTGAGAATGGACAGGCAGAGCAATGAGGAGAGAGGTCAGAAGCACAACAAATGAGGAGGAGGAGGAGGAGGAGGATGTGACAGGGAGAAAGTGGACAGTAGCATAGAGAGAGATTAGCCTGATAATCAGACCGAATTGCCATTTTGTTTCACTTCATTTATTGAACGTGATACTGTGTTCATGTTAGCCATTTGCTGGTTGATGTTGGTCTTTTATTTTTGCTCTAACCACTCGTTAATCTAATCATCTCTAATCACTCTGGAGCGAGCCACGTACGCCGTGGTCGAGGCGGCTAAGAGCAGCAAACTCAATGGTTTTTCAGGACAAAGGAGGAGTGTTTTAGAGTTGAGAGTCATTGCTTCTTTAAGGCTTTGTTACCATTGTTCATGGATCTGGCTAGCAATCTGTGCAAGAAGATAACGCCTACAAAGTTCTGACTGGTTTACTGTTCCTCCAATTGTCTGAAAGTATCATCAGTGGGCACAACACTAGACCCATTTCAGTGCAGAACAAATGGAGATGTGGGAGACAATTCAGAGGTCTGGAACCAAGCTACAGAAAGGAAGTGGTACGCTAAAGGATGAGGATAGGCAAGTTCACATGAACAGGTGAGAGAAGGAAAAGAAGAATGTTGGGAGCAAAAAGAGGGAAGAGAGGGAGAGAATATGATAAACTGATAGGAGAGGAGGAAATATGAGAAAAGGGAGGAGGAGTGGGAACAAGGACAAGTGAGGTCGGCTTGGGGGGACTGCTGGTCCTCTCCTGAGGAGTCAGGTGAGCGGCTCTGGTAGGAAGCTTCTTTTGGCTAAATGTTCAAATGTGCTCAAAATGTCCCTGGGGCAGAGTTGGACTAAAGTGACCTCAGATTAACAACAGCCCCTCATGAGACACAGTGCTTCTATTAAAGACCACAACAACAGGGGGGTGAGGGAGAGGGGAGGGATAGGAAATGGGTGAGGGGGGGGGGCAAGTGTTCTTACCCGTCTTGGGCGTCAAACTGAGGTCTGTGTCTGATGATGAGGACTGGCGGCTGCATGGCTTGGAGGGAGAGAAGGGGGGAGGAGAGGAGGAGGTGGTGGGAAGGGCTCTGAAAGGGGTTGGCGGGCCGGAGGACGAGGTCAGGTCCTCACCAAATACCGGCCTGCCAGGAGAACATGACACACACACGAACACACACCCACCCACATCAGTCACCACTTTGTGTATGTGTGTGTGTGTATATGGGAGTGGGTCAGCGTTGCCAATAAATTGAAAGGTGTCTATTTTAATGTGTGATTTGTTTTGCATTGGGTGAGGTGTGTTTGAGGTGCTACGGATGGCTGGAAAACAAAAAAAGCAAGCATGGAAAGCAAAAAAAAAAAAAAAAAGAGATTAACACAAATTAAAAGCACACACAAACACATTAAACTAAAGAAAGCAACATGGCAAAACACAAGGAGGTCAACAGAGGATGACGAGCTGAAGCATGTGTCCCAGTAGAGTGAAGCAACGGTGAGGTGACTGTCGAGATATATCGGGCCCTCGCAGAAGGATGCAACTGGGAATCTGACTGCCAACCCTCTATCGTTGGAAAAAAAACAGTACAGGTGGAGGGATTATGAGTCTATCATCAATGCTTGGTCTTTCACTGACAAAGGGTATGTGGGTCTGCCTGGTCGTCTTTGTCGCGATGCCTCAGTCTCCCTCATATAAACATCACTGTCTACTTCTCTATTTCTAACTTCTTGTATCTATTCTATGCGTCTGCATACCAGTGAAGATGAGTGTGGGAACAGAGACAGAGAAGTTCTGGGACAGTCTCTGGGAGCTGCAGGCCGAATGCACTGGGCTGTTGTGGGTGGAGCGGCATCCGTGGGCAAGGGGAGACCTGGGCCAATCAGCACGCAGAGGGAGGAAGACAAGAGGACCGATTTGGACACAAGCAGTGAGAAACGTCCCAATCCAAATGTAGCCAGAGAGCCAGAAGAGGGAGAAAGAGACTCACACAAGAACCAACACCACAACATTGCAATAGAGTGCAAAAGGAGACACAAGGGGAAAAGAAGTTTGTTTTTACTCCCTCTCTAAGCCCCTGTGATTGCATTTAACGCCATGTGAAAGCAGCAGGAAACTCAAGAGTTTTAGCTGAGAGCCAATGCATCGCTCAGCTAAAAATCTCAGTATCACACAAACATGCACAAAAGGGATGCAAACACCACAGGAAAAAAGACACGCGGATAATCTCACCTGTAGAGACAGTGTTTGTGTTTAAAGTCCCCACTACAGATGAAACAATAACCGTCGACTGAACGATGTGGAGTAGGTGGATCCCTTGCAGAATAACCAACATATGTAAATCCCCGATACACACAATCTCACACACTGGCGCACAGATAAACTGTCTAAATGCAAAAAAAAAAAAAAAAGAGGCACACATGCACTCAACTGTAGATAAGCTTACAGTAATTGGATAAAAATCACAATTCAACCACTCAATAGTCAGGGTGAGGACCAAAGAACAAAGTAAAGGAGCACACTGTTAAAGGCTGAGCAGCACACGTGGGCTGGATACTCACTAAAAGACGCAGCACTAGAACATGCAGAGGCAGAGCAGAAAGCCATGCAAGAGCGGTCTAAGAGAGCAGACAAAGGGAGGAGGGGGTTTGAGGATGGCTGTGTGTGTGTGTACTGCACATGTGTGTGTCTCAGGAAATGTCATGTGCTGTTTCATGATGCAATGACACGCGACACAATAGACACAAACTACAGAAAGGGAACCAAAGATTCTGAGACACACACACAGGAGTTAGAGCTAGACTATACACAGACTAACATTCAGTACAATGCACACTCACACTCTCCCCATCATGCACACACCGATCATATTTCCACATTCTCACAAACTAGATTTGCAGTGAATCTTGCACGTTAAAAAGAGGCAGGGTCCATGCTCGTGTTGTTGGTTCATACTCACTCCTTTCCATCCTTGGAAGGGGAATTGCAGGCATTGGAAGTGGGGGCTGTGTTCGGGTGCATGTGTGTGTTGGTGTTGGGGGCGCTCCCAGAGCTGAGTTTGTCCAGTGTGCAGGCAGTACCTATGGCCCGGACTACCAGACCCGACTCTCCCTCCAGGTCAAAACACTGCAAGTAGCCCACCACTGCATTCCCGCCCATCTCCAATACCTTTAGCCCTATTTTCCTCTGCAGCTCTCCTAAATAGGGGGTAACACAGAGCCACATTAAGAAGAGAGGGGTAGAACAGAGAGGACCAATCTATTCTGCCTCCACACCGACACCAACAGAGGATCACAGTACATTATCTTACCGGACATAAGAGAGATGAGCCTCTGCCGGGCCTCATTGGAGGCCCGGGGTGTTCTTATGCGGTCGATCCACTGGTACTCTGGATCTTCATTCACCACAAGCTCCTCCACAAACCCGTGCACCACCGCCGCCCTGTAGCACCTTGGAATGGATGTGGCTACCAAACACCACAAAGAGTGAAAAGATTTGACATCTTCCGTGCATTGCTTTTGTAGGTGACTGCAATATATAATGTCAATCTGTATTTCATGCACACAGATTGTGTCATATGCTGTTTCTGTAAACTGTAAAACAATTGTGAACCAAAAGTCTAGTCAGACATACTGCAGAAGAACTTGACCCCGCAGGAGGACTGTCTGAAGCGGTTCAAATCGTTGAAAAGCTCCACTTTGACAAGGACATTGATCTCGCCGCGGATACCTAAGAACAAATAATGGAGAGAAATACATTGTAACAAGGGGAAAGGACATAAGGGGAAAAGTGCATTTATTATAGTCAGATTAGTTTATTCTTGTACCGTGGATTGTATCATAGATGGGAAACCAGCCAGAGATGACAGAGGCAGCCTCACTGCACAGCAGCGGGTCAATGTCAATGTAAACTTTCCCTATGGCATCGTTAGCACTGTAAGTATCGTGGTCCAAAACTGTGACCTGCAATGGCTCATCCTGCAAGTCCTCATCGTCAACCTACACAGCAAGAGGAGAGTAAGAGAGGATAGGAATGCCGACATTTAGTTCATCCACATCGTGTGATGCATTCAAATAATACGACCACTGCCCGCCAGGTGTAAAGAGAAGCTCGCTGGCCTTTTACCTCAAATTTGAACCATTCTGAATTCCATTGTGGATTGAGGGATTTGTGACAGACGTCGGTTTTGAAAGTTGTGTTTCCAAACTTAACCTGGGAAATAAAATGCAGGAGACACATCTTTTAAAATGCCACATTTACTATTTTGTGTGATCCTTATGCAACAACCACACTGAAACTATGTTAAATATATGATGTTACAGACGTGAATAGTTTGGTTTCATTAAAAGTATTGCTCTTCAAGGTTCACTCACCTCTACGAAAGCATCAGTCAGGTCACTGGCTCTGTCCATCACAGGCAAGTGGCGCCCAGCTACAATTTTGGCCTTCAGTTTCCCAGGCATGATTCACTTTTAAGTTAATCTGTGAACAAGTCATATGACAACAATAAAACATGTATACATGGCTTTTCAACTGATCACCTGCGTTAATCAACACTGCTCTCACTAACAGCAGTGATGACTGAAGAGTGAGCCACTCAAGTAACGTAACGTGAGCGTATGTTGTTGACAGTGTGGAGAGCCCACTCCATCTATTTACTTATTAGCTAATGAGCTAGCTTCCGTCCACTAAACTATCATTTAACGCGTCTAGCTCCACTCTAAATAGTGTATCCACTTGGTGTATAGGCATGTATTGAACTACCGTTCATGAACGCGACAGCAACTGACAGCTGACGTTAGCTGGTTAGCTAAATTATGTTAGCAAATCAAGGCTAGCAAGAAAAGCCATTTAGCGTTAGGTCAACTGCATTGCAGTCAATCTCCTTAGCTCCACCTGATCGGCCATGTTTTTACAATCATACTGCACAGCCAAACACCAATACGTAACAACAATACTATACTGTTAACGTTACTCCCAGTACAAACAGTAGTATCCTCACCAGTGCTGTAACATCAACACGCAGCTGTCAAAGCGGCAGCGCGATCGTTTCTCGGACATTACTGTTGACAGCTCGTCTGACCTCCGTGTATCTCCCATAACATGAGACGTTAACATTAGTTCACAGAACACCAGGACGGATAGTCTCGTTCAAATGAGAAACATTCATTAACTAGTATTACGACTAAATAGATAGGGTTATGTAAGTGACGTTACGACCGACTTATCGATTCATAACCAACACATAGCACTGGTTAGCGCGTGAAGCTAACGGCTAGCTTGATAAGGATACAGCTCATGATGAATGAGTGTTCACGTGTTAGTGCATGCTAGCTTCAGGTCGCCTCGTAAATTTGTGCTTCCATTTGAAACGCTGCACCTATGTTCCTCCGGTCAGAAAAAAACCCAAAATAAACCTTTTAACAATGAATCTCACTGAAAATATATCAAAGATATATACGTGTGAATATAATACGGACTTAGAGTGGATAGATAGTATAGCTATCGACTCACTAAAATACAGTATTTAAATTACAAATAAGGCAGCTTTGTCTTGTGCATGGGCAATTATAACCTTGGTGAAGCAAGTACTTTTTTTAATAAATATTATGTAATGTGTAGATTTATTAATCAGCCATGTTATTGTTTAGCTTTTTTGTAATTTTCGTTTTTTTTAAATCATTTATTTATTCGCACTGTAACAGAAATGGAGAGGCCTGTGGATTTTATACATTTTTCTTATTGTCAAGAAGTTACACTTGGTATACTGTTTCAGTGCTTTCTGCAGAGGTGCCAGCTGAGACCTGTCCCCCATTAAATACTCCAATGCTGAGCCATGTGCCTGGTGGATTTGTCTAAATCAAAACACAAAGCATATGGCTTGTCACCTCTATCCAGAGGGGGAAGTCAGACCATAGGTTGGTATTTTTGGTCTGTAGCCTATGTATAAAGAAACATGTCTGTGCCATCCCTGGAACTATGAGGAGGGAGTCATCACTCAAGATTAGGTTATACATGTATGACCTCTTTTTATCTGGACCCATTTTAAAGGTTACAATTTTCCTAGCCCCTTGTTAATTACAATATTACAAATTATTACAGAAGGACAGGAGGATGACGAGAGAGTTGTTTATCCAAAAATAGATATAGTTTATATATTACATTACATTTCATTACAGTCATTTAGCAGACGCTTTTATCCAAAGCGATTCACAATAAGTGCATTCAACCTCGGTATTCAAGAGAACTACTAGTCACCAGAAGTCATAAGTGCATCTCCTTTTTTAAACAAGCATCTACGAGCATAAACCAGAGCAAACGTACAGTGCAGAAACAAACAAATACAATAAGTGCAACAGACTAATACGAATACAATAAGTGCAGCAAACTAGTATGAATACAATAAGTGCTAAGTGGAAGACTCAGGGTATATATGTGTTGCATGCTGTCTTGTGCGGTAGAGGACAAAACTGAACCTGCCTCTATTTAAAACACAACATGCTTTTGTTCATGTAGGCCCACAAACCATATCATCACTCCCACAGAAATGAAGCATGACAGAAGAAGGTGACACCATCCAGGTCAACAATTTCCAACCTTTAAAGGATGGTAACCGATATGTGCCATAAAACAAATAAAGAAAAGATACAATGAATATGGAACCAATGTGTTCTTTCTGCACTATAAATTATTTTTAATCATGCCACAAAACACACACATGCTATGACCACGTGAATTTATTCTGTATCAATGCAAACCCAAGAGAGAGAGAAGAGAAAAGGGTACAAAATGTGTCCATCTTTGAAAGTGATGACAGGCAAGGCTTTCATAACATGCTTTCCTGGTAGTCTCACATAAACTTGTAACCATCCTGGCGTTAAAAATAAGAGAAATATTGGTTTCGGGTCTAGCACTTTCACCTCACATCAAAGTAATGTCCTTGGTTTGAATCTCAGCTGTATTGTTTGTGTTTGTTCCCACAGTCCAAAGACATACATAAATCAGGGGAAATGGGGCATAGCAAGCCTTCCCTTAGTGCATGCTGGGACCCCAATCTGTCTGTGACCCTGAAAAACAATACACAGGTGTGAAGAATGAGTGAATGCTACTGGTTGAACCTTTGATATTGTTGTTGAACTCATTGCACTGGTCATACTACACAGAGCTGGTGCACTTGTCCTCGTAATAATTCATGTAGACCAAACTGAAACAGTGCTCTTCACAGCAGTCACTTGTTGTCTCTTGCTCTTCTTGGCCGGAATTTCAGCCCACTGGATGTCAGATACACACATATGTTAATATTTTTTATTCAGGTTCATGTTTTATTTATTTATGATAGTCTACAATCTTTGACACTTGAGAAGGACGTAACACCAATCAATAAGCATACAGGTGTTCTAAAAACATATTCACAAAATAGGACACCAGCATAAACCTTCTCATTCATCTTATAAAATATCTCAACATCTACAGGATGGATGACACAAAATCTGCCACCATGTGTCTAATAGTGACTGAGTGGGTGCACCACATTGTGAGGATGATCGACATAGCACCAGAAAGGTTATTGGATATGGCGACGTGACCTCTTCTGTGGAGCAACACAAACATACAGGAAAATAATGTATGTTCTTCTGGTCTTTCCCATGAAATATGCCTTCACAAATATGTTACATGTGTTGTACAATGTTAATTATATTAGACTAATAAATAGCCTATTTTTTGTTATTGCTCTCAGATGACACACTCCAGGATCTGATGACCAGTAGGCAAATACTTTAGTTTCAGACTCATCATCCTTTACAACAGAGGTGATCATCTTGTCAATCAGTATGTAGTTGTTGAGTTAACAAACGGAGATTTCTCGTTAATCCCGATGACTGACCAATCATTTGTGACAGAGAGGTGGGCTGTGTCACAAATCCAGATATTCGAGAAGTAATAAAAAGAGAAGATGTCTCACTACGTCCTTACTTCAAAGTACCACAGATGTTGTCATGACTGGATAACCTGATACACAAAGAGCGAGAGGTTTGTGGAGTGATGCATCTTCTTAGAGAGGATCTTTAGTGCACAAATCCAACGTCTGCACCAACTGCTGTCAAAAACCATTCTGATTTCATACACTTCACTTTGATGCACGTTCTGATACGGAGGGTATCGTTTTCTGTTTTTCACTGGACTGTTTTTGTTGTTGTTGTCTCTTTCAAATCTACCAGCCTCCTCATTTTTTTGACAATGTTGAATGAGTAAGTTCTGTCATCACACAGTTTAAAAAGTTTATTTTTCAAGAGTGTTTAATTGGCCTATGATGGAGCAGGTTTGTCTCAGAATAATAACATTGTCTCTTGTTTGCTTGTGTCTCTCTGCTTTCTCTGGTCCAACAAATTCCACATGGCCATCACAGTGATGTAAGTTACAGACTGCATGTCTTACTATTCTTTCTAACCTCAATAATGGGGGAAACTAGTTACAATTTGATGTTTAATGTGGTTTAAATTCCTTGTCTTTATTCCTTTCTCCTCAGGACTCACCAGGCCCCTTGGCCCCAAAGAAATGTGTTGCAAAGGTAGAAATACTCATTTGAACTGACAATATGTTGAATATGAATAATAGTTCCACTGTGCTAACTTGTTTGAATGACTGAATCTTTTCACTCAGCTTAACAGCTTCCCTGGAAGAAAACAATATTACAAAGCAAATGGGTTGTATAGCGATGAGATAGGATATATAGTTTAAAAACAAAAGTTGAATTGTAAATGATCATGTTAACTATAATGATATGTACTGTATCATACTGACACAAACTCATGCAATTCCCCTAGTTATAAAGATCAGTATTACAAAGAAACAATGACACTAACAATTAAACGTTAACCTTCTCATGTATGATTGTATTGGTGAATGGAGCATTGACTGAACAACTCTCTTGCACATTCAGTTTTAATTGTTGATGTGTTGCTTTCATTTTGATCTTACCCGGCTTGGAGATATGATTAAATAGTGGCAGAATACAATTAGACAGAAAAAGATAACTATTTTCAATGCTAAATACTGGGCATTATAAGAAGCTGCTGTCTAGTATGCCATGATATATAGTAAGTCAAAGTCACATTGTCAATCTCATAAAGGTTTGAGTTGCTATATCAAAAAGAGGTACCAGTAATTGTACCAAACTAGGAACCCATTTTAACTATCGCAGGTAAGGAATTTACAATGTATCTGACAAAACTTATATTTACATTGCATCATAGCTAAATGATCTAGTGTAACATGTCATCTTTATTATTTTCAGCCTAAATCCAAGATTTCAGCCTCCCGCAGGCTATCACTGAAGGTAAATTACACATGTGTTGACTTAACAACAATCTAGAGACACCATTTTTGTCATGTAACAACCAAAAGGAAAGTTAGAAGCACTGGTTAAACACCAAAATGTCACATGCTTCTCTTCATGTTGACTTTGACTCATCCAGATCCTCTTGCTGACTCGTGCAACAGAAGATCTGGAGGCAGAGAAGACTGCAAGAGAGGAAGAGAAGGTCCGCTACCTGGGAGAGAAGCTTCCACCGCTGCAGCTCATTGGTTTAGACATGGATAACCTGCAGGTGAGAGGGGTTATGACCCTGAGATTAACTGTACAACATTGATTATGTATAAACGTTAATCATGTGTCTCGTTTGTGTACTTAAATACAGTGTGGTTATTTGTTTGCTGTTGATTTTAGAAAATATGTAAGGAGATTATTGAAAAGATTGATAAGGTGGATGAGGAGCGGTACGACTGTGAGGCCAAAGTCTTCAAGAACCACAGAGAAGTATGTCATCCACCATCACTGAAATAGAAGTACATCAAGAGAAAGAGTTCTTTATTATCAAATAGTCACCAGCTGAGCTTTTCACCATCTCTAGATCAACAATTTGAATCTAAAGATTATGGACCTCGGAGGGAAGTTCAAGAAGCCAGCTCTGAGGAAGGTGAGAGTGTCAGCAGATGAGATGCTGAAAGCTCTGTTTGGATCCAAAACCAAGGGCTCCATGGACTTAAGGGGAAACCTCAAGTCTGTAAAGAAAGAGGACATCAAACAAGAGAAGGTACAGCTACTCAAACAAACACAGAGATATCCAAAATCTTAGAGAGAGAAAAAAATGAACTGCAAAAAACGTAATGGTCTGTCTGTTTGTTTTGATACCAGGAGCTGACCATGGAAGTGGGTGACTGGCGTAAGAACGTGGAGGCCATGTCTGGTATGGAGGGCAGGAAGAAAATGTTTAATGCATGATGTTAGGGATTAAGAACTGACTGGAATTTGTTATAATAAATGAATAAATAAAAGAGTACATAATGTAACAAACGCTGCCACTCTTTTGGCAGAAGTAAAATCATACACCATACTTTCAAGTCACTGTAGTTTTTATTCCATTCTCAGGTAGAACATTTGCAAAATAGGATTGGGAATACACAGTTTATTACTGTCAGACAATGCTGTTATGTAAAAGAATACAACACATTCGTACATTTTGCCTCTCCTTTCGTTTCACCTACATATATTAACATTGAAGCAAATATGTAAATAACTATAACCTCTGCTCTAAAGCTGCAGCATAGAAAGAATTTCTTCAGGCACAATATTGGATTTCATTTGTAAATGCAACCGACTTGACATTGTCCTCTGACACAGTTATTAAAAGGGTATGGTGGACGTTTTTATGCCATTGACTTACAGTGACAAAGCACCAAAGATATTTTCTGTCGGAGCCGGGATATACTTAGCCTTTACCCTTGACTGGAATGAATTCCTCTCCGATCACAAACACTGTCACATATGCTAGTAGCTGTCCTTGGGCTGACACTCAGTAAGATGAAGGTTGAAAAATGGAGGGGTGACGGGATGGAGCCTCTGAGGAATTTAAGAGTGCACATGAGCATCTGTAAAAATACGATATGTGGCTGTGTGGAGGCCAGCGTAGTCATACTGTTATTCCTACTGTCTAGAGCATTTTCATCACCATTGTAAAAGCTAAAAATGGTCCTAAAGGCACCACAGCTGTGCAGACTTGTGTTTCACTTAAATTGTCTTGTGAGACAATGAGGTGAGGTAATGTAAGTGTCCAATTCTGCCATTGGCTGTGTGTGTGCTGATCTGACACCGCTAAATAAAGGGTGGTACTTGTGTGCTAAAGATGTGTTAGGTGATTAATTCCTAACACATCTTTAGCGGAGCAGAATGTCTCCCATATGTCAAATAATAATACCTCACCTTTCTTTAACATTTACAAAGTCTGCATAGACCTTCAGCTAATACCCAAAGTGAAGAACACAACAACAACAACCTATTTTTACTATTATATTGATATGTTCTATGATGTTGTGTTTTAATAGTTTGACAGTATTTGGCTGGTGTTGTTCGCAACTTGTGAGTGTGTGTGTGCGTGTAAATCAAGGTAAAATGTGGTCCTGGAGACATGTACTGTAGCAGGAACTACCACAGATATATGAATATGGTTTTGAGTACTTTGCCAGGTGTTTATATGTCTGTCTGTATGTGGACAGATTTTTGTCGTCACAACCGTGCAAGGTGCAATCACAAAACTTAACAGGCGTGTAGTTGAGATCAAAATGAATGCCAAGTTTGAAGATGGGTGTAGTCAGAGCAAGGACACATTAACTAAGTGGGTAGGTAGTGATGGATGGGCCTTTTGTCTCAGTTCTCTATTTGAACAACATATTTACTGTTAAAAAGCACACATAATGTAATGGAAATAAAGACAATGGATTTATTCCTCAGATTTGTCAAGGCAGTGTAAAGTGTAACAGCAAAAACAGTCCCTGAGAGAAGAGAACCGTACATTAAGGCAGAGGTCAACTGTCAGCACGGAGAGAGGGGTGAGGTATATCTAAAAACAACAAAGTAAGACACCAAGGAGTAGTAAAATACAATGAAAATAGAATCCTACAAACATTAATACAATAAATATCAAGTTTATAATATGTTACAACATGACAAATAAGGCTGTGTTTATCATATACACAATCTGCAGTGTATTTAATTTAGTCACAAACAAAAGTAAAAAAAAAATTCTCCAGTTAAGACTCATGTGCAAAGCGTGTGATCTTTATGATATAGGACACTTGTGTGAATGGATCCTTGGAGTATCATTTAATTTGTCTTTGGATCAGATCAGTTCCTTCAAATCAGCCAGAAATGCAGATCACCATGGTGTCCGTCAGTGACCAGGTGTCATTTGTAATTGTCAACAGTATATCCAGTGAAATAAACTCTGTACATATCAGTAGTATCTCCTTACCAACGACCATCACCGTTGCCACTTGTGAATGAAGACAGTACCCTATTCCGTCGGTCAGCAGGTACTACGCTTACGTAGCAGGAATCAGGCTCCGGCCTTAAAGTTCACATGGTGCAGCGAGCAGGTGACAAGGTCCACTGTGGCTGGGTCACTCTGGCCTCCACATGCCATGTTTGGAGTGAAAGTGGTGGAAGAAGTTCCTCAAGTAGACCCTTTCCACTTCCAGCCCTCCCTTGAGAATCCTGGAGCAGAGAGCAGTGGCGAGTTTGTTTAGTTACAATTCCTATCATTGTGGTCACTAGCTTTTTAAGACACAACAGCGATATAAAGTGAAACAACAGGCCAAGACTCAACCAAAACAGGCTTGTTTTATATTGCTCTGCAGATTCACGGATTAATAATGAACCTAAACTAATTAGTTACAAAAGTAAGTATGCTTGTTGTTTAATTTTGAAGGGAATAAAAGAAATACGTTTAACCAAGTAGGAACATAAGTGCAAGTGCAAAATAAAAATGCAGGTGATGTAAATGTCGCCTTGTTTTTTCATGTAGTGAAACGTTGGTAAAAATATGTAGTAAAAATTGTCAGTCAGCTGAATGTACTGTAACAGAAAAGGTATGCGAATAAATCTTGCCGCATCATACTTCGGACCCTAAGGTTCCCACTTTGGAATACTCTGCTCTAGGGAAGTAAAAATCAACCCAAGTATACTCTCACACTGTTATGCATCATCTGCCTGTCATGTCAAATGCCTTCCAGCAGTTATTTTGTAATGTCTCCATCTGCTACAGCCAGTCATTGTCACAGCATATTTATTTTAAACATCTTTACCAGGAACATGCACGAACTTGTTACAATCAGCTCGGTGAATGCAAGTCGAGAGTCCATTACCACTGTCAGTAAACAGCAACATAGGGAGCAGCAACAGCTTTTAGAATGTTGTTTAAAAAAAGTTGAATGAAAACGAAAATAGCAAATAGAGGAAATAGACTAAAAATTACTATCACTGACAAACATAAAGGGAAATTTAGAAAGTGAGGACAGACCTGTCGAGGAGCTCCCAGTCTTCTCCTCCCCAGCGGTCTTTGTAGTCCTTGGTGTTCATTCCTCCCACTGCGTCCAAATCTGACTTATAGATCCCCAGCAGGCCAAAACCTTTGACCTCCCACAAACCTGCAACACAGATGGGCACATTTTCATTAAACTTTGATGTTGCTTGCATCCACACAAAAGGTTCCCCTCCATCTCTGGAGTCACACATCTTGCTTGTCTTAAGACTGAATCCCCACATCGACGAAGACGCCGTGGAAGAGTAGGCTTCCTAAAACAGGTCAGTGGTAACACAAAGATGGCCGGCTCCATGTCGATGCGTCCTTGGGCAAGACACTTTACCCCGTTGCTCCCGTAGCTGTGCCTGCGGTGTATGTTGTATGAATGGTTAAGTTAAGAGTCCTGATGGGCAGGAGGCACCTTGCACGGTAGCCCCTGTCATCAGTGTATGAATGGGTGTGAATGGTTGAATGATGACATGTAGTGTTAAAGCACTTTGAGTGCTCGGAAGACTGGAAAACCGCTTTGCAAATACAGTCCATTTAACATTTACCATGTCGAAAGTAAGTAAGCTGCATATATATATATATATATATATATATATATGCATAAATACTGAAAAAGGCATGTACAGGCAAAAAGAAAATAAAAAGGCTTGAAATGGCAGCTAATCTGGTTAAACCAAAGCAAAGTTTTTATTTTGCATTGAATGGCTCCTCTCATGTTCGTGTTTTAGACTAAATCCCAGAGAAGTCTTCTCCCCTGTGTCCTCACTGTCTGTCTCCCACTTTGTTGTACATCTAACAGGGTTCCTACACTCCCTTGGAAATGCATTTAGACATGGATGCATATTTACCATCTTCATAGTCACGTTAAAGACCTCCACAATGCTGTATTTTGGAGTAAATTAGGACATTGTTCTAAGCTGTTCTAGGCTTCTACTGCTTTATGAACACTCCATTAAAAGACTTCTGATAATGATGACTCAAGTGGTAAGGCTTTAGAGCAACAACAAAAATGTGAGAATTATATTTGGCTGAAGAAAGTACTTTCAAATTGATTTTCAATTCGATTACATTTCCCACCTTCAAAAGGAACCATGGTCACACAAAAATATAATCATGATATATATGGTGTATCTGCGTCTACCTCTGGCTTCTAAACGTGTAACTCCGCAGCCCAGTCTCAGGACTATTGGAGCAAAGGCCATGTAGCCCTTCACACAGTGTTTCCTGATGGTGTCGATGATGAAGGGAGGGAAGTTGACGTGGAGGTCACAAAGAAACACAATGCTCTGGTCATCCTGAGGGATAATGAGGAGGGAAAGATGCAAAAAGGGATGTATTATGACTATTTGCACATCTATCACTTCATCTTAAAGCTTTACTGCAGAGTGATGTTGCAACACTCACATGTATAAGGTCGACACCTGCTTGCAGACCAGCCGCGCGCTCAAAGTTTCCACTCAGCTTCACATACTGGTACCTGATCAATTCCACAGGCCAAATCATAACACATACATATATGTGTGAGCTTTATAAAAATCTGAGTTGGCAAATTCAAGCGAAACAAACATACACACACCTGGGGAGTGAGGAATTCTGTAGAGCCTTCCTCACGTCCATGTCCGTGCTGCTGTAATCTGCGACGATGAGATTGAAGTTGGAGTCTCCGGTTTCTCTGAACAATTGCTCCATGTCTGCGATCAGCTGCTGCACCCAGCGAGCCTGGTTTTTCACTGAGGATCGTACAGACAAATCAAGTTGTTCAGGTCATGCATAAATAGACATAAAGGGAAATAAATATCTAGAAAAAAGCAGAGTTAATGCCCCCCCCCCCCTGTCCTTATTCCTACACAGTTCAGAGAATGGCTGCTATGGATCCCTCCCGAAAAAGTGTTTTTCAAAAGGTCCTTCAAAAGGTAGAGTCTTTCTACAGCTTTGAATCTTACACCAATAGCTACATAATGGGACAAAAAACATATTTTGGAGGCCTTTTCTTCTACTGGAGATCGAGTAGAAGGAGAATAACTTTAACAGCCTTGATGATGAATGTTTTTGTGAATTGCAAAGTAAAACAGAAGCCACCACACAAAAAGGAGCACGGCACAGGACAAAGGGACCAAAGGAGTCGGTGAATGTAATGGCTGTAGTGAGCGTAGTTAAAGGTGGATGTACCAGGTATTATGAAGTGGACGGTGGCGTCGGGATTCCATTGGAAGCCCACCGGGTTACAAAGCTTCAGCTGAGGTTCCGGTCGTTGGAAATTTAAGTCCTGGCTGCGTTGCATGCTGTGGCGAATCGGAGCATAGATGTAGCGCGACAGGCGCAGCAGCTGGCCGTTCACATCTTTCAGCTCCAGCTCCAGAAGGTAGCGGTTGCCCTGGGCCGCGTCCACGCGCTTTACAACATTAACAACGCGCACCAACGTGAATTGCCTGCAAGGACAGAGAGAATCAAACAAACATGGTTGAAATGTGTCAAAACAATTGTGCAAGCCATGCAACATGATTGTACTCGCTATTTCGTTATATTGGAAGTTTATTTGATTCCAAGATGTCACATCATTATTAAAAATATTTTCTCTCTTTCTGCCAGTAAAATTATTTTAATTAAACAAATTGACATTTATCATGCTGATACTTTTTACCCATTTTAGATCTCTCATAATGGAAAAATATATTAATATCTTATTCTTGTTAATAAGGCTGATTCCTGAAGCACAGTGCATATACAAATACAGTACTTACTCGTGGTGCTTTTCGTTTAGTTGGTCCATGAAAGCTTTGACCACAGGCAGAGCGTCATTAGAGGGGAGAAGCAGGTTGCCTAGGATGGAGCATCCCAGGTCAATCCGATCTGATTGATGTGCCTGAAGGTTCAGGTGGCGGATCTGGAAGGTCTGGTTCCAGTTGATATCAGTGCCAATTGTGTGGATGCTATTTTCTACAACTGGTAGAGGCATTTTCATCCCTTTCTTCTTATCCCTGAGGTATTTACTGTTAGATGTGTCCCTCTGATTTAGCCTTTTTACAGTGCGACCAATGTCTCTCTTGGGTGTGGCAAAACGCGTGTTGGTGATTGACTGGAGCTCCATTTCCCCTAATAAATCCCTCCCCTGCTTGGCCACTGGGTTTTTTTCGAGCAGAGGCTGTTTCTTTGCTTTAAGCTGCTCTCTGTCCACTTTATTTACGTTATTCTTTAATTTCCGTCCTGTGTTTCCTATGTCCTGCATATCAGGAAGTTCTAGTCTCATGTATCCAGCGAAACGGAACCTGAAGACAAGAGCACAAAACACACAATTAAGATTTAGAAGAAGTTAATTAGCCTGATGTTACGTTAAGATCCCAGATTTGTTGTTGGTGTTGTGCTGCCTTAATTTTCTCGTTGTGTTGTTGCTGATGTATTTGTTGTATAATAAATATGTACTGTCTCGTAATTGTGTTTTTATAATACAGTGTTAATGTTATACTCCTCCCCAGGCACTAAGAATAAAACAAAACATTTTCATCTGCTGCTGTGAAAAGATTCTCAGTACATTAAAGGGTGCAGCACCCTCTGTTGGTGATACTGTTAACCTACCTCTAATTACACTGTTCGTATGCATTTTAATTTAATATAGTATGTCAAGATAAACGTTACTACATATGGATCTATAATTCATATGGTGTATTACCCCTTCGTGTACTCCAAGCTTTTGGGGTAGAAGCAGCTGTTCTCTGTCTCAATGTGTGTAAGTCTGGTGTAGTCATTGGGGTAGATGTAGGACATGTGGATCTGGGGAGATGAAATGAAATGACATGCTGTTAAAGCTGATGAATCACGAGATCTGGTATAATATACAGAATAAGGGTTGTCCAACGCCCGTCCACAGGGATCAAACTGGTGTGTAGAGTTAAGATAAGAACAGAACATACTGCATCATGTCTTCTTTTGGATGCGTACCAGATTTCAGAAGGATATTCAAATATTTTTCAAACTAAAGAACTCAAGTAGTTCAGTCATTTTTGGGGGATTTGAGCTTATTGTGTTTTCTTGTAGAGTTGAGAAGATCAACACCACTCTCATATGTGTCTGATACATATGAAGCTACGGCTGACTAGCGTAGCTTAACATAAAGATTGAAAGCAGGGAGAAACATCTAGCAAGCCTGCGCCCAAAGGTTAAACAAATATTCCAATTATCTCCTAAAGGTCACTAATTAACGTGTTATAGATTTTTTTTGTTTGTTTAATCAGTACAAAGAACACGTGGACTCACGGGGGGGGGGGGGGGGATACGTGCAGGACACACCTGGAATGTTGTCGCAGATCTCTCAGTACGACCCTGCTTGTACTTTGGAATAGAAAGAGGGCCTCTTCACGAGCATCTCAGTGCTTAGCTGAAGACTAAGAGCCTGATAGTCCCACTGCTCTGAAACACTCTGACGAAATTAGGCAGTCTGAGTCAGGGGCTTCTTTTAAATCCAACCTCAAAACATACTTTTATCGCACTGCCTTCCCTGATTTATTTCTGATTATAGTTTTTTTTCTGTTTGATGGGTTTTACATTTGTAATTTGGATGTTGCCCTTTTAGTTTTAGTCTTTTTTATGTGAAGCTCTTTGTAACTTTGTTATGATTAGTGCTATATAAATAATGATTTATATTTGCATTATCATTTATCTTATTTCTTAGCCGGGCATTGACATCCTGGAGAAGGTTGCTCGGCAAAAAGCAGAGACTTCAGGAACTCGGCACAAAGTGATGGGAGCAGCCTGTCCTCTGAGGACCTTAGATATGCTGGCATCATTTTGATTCCTCAAATAGGAAACTCTGCTCAGCACAACAAGAAAAAATAAAAAAATAAGAGAAGGCCATGAAAGATGGAAAAAGCTTCCTATAACAATTGCTTCTTCAGTGCTATCCCAACACTGTATGAGATCTAGAATAATATAAGATGATGAGAACAATGCGGGCTGGAGCTCCACCAGTAGAAATGTAAGTTAAATAAACAAACTATATAAATACATACAAACTGCAGTCCTTGGTAACGGTAGAGAGGAAAGTTTTTGATTGTGTAGCTGGGTTTGTAAGAGTAGTCAGGCAGGACATCTTGGAGATACTTGCTGTTTATCAAAGGCACTGCAGACAAACACAACACACAGATTTGAGATGCGATCACTTTGTGCGTTCAGCATGAGGACATATGTTGCAAAACACTTGATAGCAATTGATGGTAGGAAATGAAGGATAAGGTGATTCATCTGCTGCGAGGCGAAGAAATAGGGCAAAAGAGAGACGTCTCTCACCTTCGTACAGAGTGTCTCGCGGGTCTTCCCTCAGCATGTCTGCTGCACCAGTCTGCTGTTTTGTGGGCGTGTGCTGGTGACTTGCAGCCGTCTGTGGTATGTGGGATACGTCACTCACCGACAAGGCAGACTCATCTGTCGGACGAAGCCACAGCGTATCAGAATAAGTCAAGTGCCGTATTTATTGTAAAACAAAACCACTGACTTGATATGCAGGTTTGAGCATCATTGCAGAATGATGAAGGCAAACAGTTTTGGATTATGAGACACTTTGTGATAGAGCTTCAACCTTGAGCTCACTGAGCTCAGTGGATGATGTATTTTTAAGTAACAGGAATGAAGTGGGTTTTTGTACTTACCAACATAGAGGGAGATGTGACTGGATTCAATAACCTTGAACCTAAAGCCTTGGTCCAGGAGCTGCCACTGTGTGAAAACCAACACAAAGAACTGCATGTCTCTTGCACTTTATTCCTCACATTGCACATGAAAATGAGCACAAACCTGACATGAGAGTTGGACCCAATGAAATGAGACTAAGAATGAAGGAGAGGATATTTTCTTTGACTGCAGTCTAAATACTTACTGCCACCACCACATGGTCGGTCCCTTTCTCGTTTTGCTTGTGGATAACTTCAAAAAAGTACTTCTTCTGAGCAGACAGCCTGTCAGAAAGTGAAAGTTAATATTCAATAAAGTGACATCTGACGGAATCTAAAATGCTTCTAAAAAGAAATACAACCATGCTGCTCTAAGTGCAGGATCTGTGGATGTGGGTACTCTTAAATTTTTTCACCATTAAAAGTTTTTTTTGGAGAGTTTTTATTAATCCAAATATTGTCGTATGCTGTACAGATTGTAAATTGAGGCAAATTTGTGCTATTGGGTTATGTAAATGAACTTGACTTAACTAGATGAAAGGAAACAGCATCTACCATGGGCAGATACAAATCTGTGTATCGGTCTCTTTTCTCTGAGGCCTCTTAAGGCTGATGAAGCAGATATTACATATTTGTTTTTATTAGGGTCATTTTTAATACTTTACTCTTTGTTTTATCTAAATACATATCTGCAAATTTTGGCTGATGCAGTTGTCAGGATCCCTATGTGTATTTGTGTTTGTGAGTGTGTCAGTGTGGGAGGTGTGGCCCTGACTAGATTAAGTGAATAACAGCGTCACAGAGAAAGGGTTAATCAACTATTAACTTCTAGATCAATTGATCTCCCTCTTATAGGTGTGTCCTACTTGAGAATATTCAAACAGACACTCTGAATAAACAGTTACACCCTTGTGGAATTAATGTAATATGTCTTGCTATTTGTCACGATTAGGCTTTGCCTTCTGTGTTCTGTGTCTGTGTGTGTGTCTTTGTGTAGCTCCACACCCTCTTCACTCTATCTGTCAGCCACTCCCTCAGCATCAGCCAAACTCCCTTCACCTGCCTCTGATCACTAATCAAGCACTCCCTCCTCATCAGCACAACTCCCCTCACCTGTTCAAGCCACTATATATACTCCCCTGCTTGCCCTGTTCCGGTACCAGATCATTGTCAGGTCAACCCGCCTGTTTGGCTCGCCCTGCTCCTGGTTTCCCAGTCTGCCTCGCCCTGCCCTGCCGGATTTCCCCCATCGTCTCTCGTCTTGTCCTCGGATTCCCTGCTGTGTTCCTGGTTCATTAAAACCCGTTCCACTCTGCTTCTGGTCGTGTCTGCTTTTGAGTCCTCCACCACACCCCGTGATACTATTCAAACAAACTTTTTAAAGTCTAAATAATCTGCACAAACAAGGCCACTAGGCTACACATAAACTTAAGTGTACATTATGTGTAGCCTACAGAATGTCTTGCCCAGTTACGGTAAACTACGCCCACACAGTGACAAAACTTTCCAGCATGTTGGCAATATTTCTGTGAAATAGCTAGAAATGCATATCTAATATTTTCCAGCACAAGTGTGTAAGAATAATGTTGAGTTTTTACATCAACGGCTCTAGTTTGGATTCCCAGAAGGGCATCTTTTCATTTTTAATAGTATGATATCGTCTGGTGTAAACTTACCGTATTGGTTTGGAGGTCTGACTGGCATACTTCTCAAACTCGCCCGGGGCTGTCCACTCTGTGCCTGCCTAGAAGAAGAAAGCCCACGTGAAAACAAATATTACAGTTTAAGGTACGAAAAAAATACTCACTGCCAATTGAGAAAACAGTCACACGTACCTTCCCAACCCATGCCAACAACTGCAAGTTAAGTGGATAGTCATCTGTGCTGAGCCACAACTCAGAGTTGTCATCAGAGCTCAGGGCAAACACAAACTCTCCTGAAAAAAGAGACAGGATTGAGGGAGAGATATATAGCATGCGTGTACTCGGTGTGGTTTCAGACTGGAACTAGATCTAAAAGTACATGTTGTACCATCAGTATATGGATGTAGATAACCAAATATCCTGAGTCCGTAGTTGGTCCGCTGAGGAGAGATGGCCAGCTTCTGCACTGTAACCCTGGACTGAAAGAGCGAGGAAAAGCAAACTTCGAGAATCAGCCATGATATTTACTCAAAGTGAGACTACATCTTGAGTCCAGGGGCATGAGGATCTAGCATGTGGATGTAGAATGCAACTTTGAGTGAAGACAACCGTGTGTGTTGGACTATGCTTGTGTATGTCTTTGCACGATGAATGCCTGAACTAAATTTCAATGGGAATCCTTCCTATAGTTGCTGAGATACTTCCGTCTGGAACAAAGTGGTAGACCGACCAATATTTCCATCCCTAGAGCCATGGTGCTAGCCTTGCTAAAAGGGTAATTTATCGAATAGATATAATTAATGGCAACTGAGTGAACTCGGAAGATAAGGGTTTGACTCACATGAGGATACAGAGGGTAGTGCAGGTTCTTGCGGAGGTCAGCTGTAGAACTGCCACACCAGTCTTCAAAGACGTGCAGATTAGCCCGTCCCTTATACTGCAGGAAGTAAACAGAGGGTGAAGACGATGCTGGAAACACGCTGCTGTTTGTGCTGCAGTAAGTCTGCAGTGGGACAATTAACCGTCTGGCCTCAGTACAGACTTCCTTAAATATCATTTGATTTACAATGACAGTACTTCTGGTTTCAACTGACACCCGATTCTTACTATCAACCCTACTTTTATTTAAAGAGTCGGTTCAGCCAAATTTTAAAACATTAGTGGCATCTAACCATGCACATAGTTTTGGTTTCATTTATTTGCTCAGGTTTTTATTACCTGGCTCCATCCTTATTCTATAGAGGTGAATACAATGTATGTGGTGCTCAAAACATTCTGAAATTATGTTAAACAAAATACAAATTATCTTCACAGAAACCAATTAATCTGAAATAATCCACAGATTTTTTTTTTTTTTTTCAATTTTTCTGTGTTTTGAACACCACATTGAATTAGGGTGGAGGCAAAACCCTCAAACATCGAACATCAAAACGATCTCTGCAAATAATAAAATCAATACTATTTGCATAGCTGAAAACCACTCGAGGTCAAGTGAGTATTTACATTTAATTAGTTATATAGGTTTGATGATGGGGGCACTGGAGTGTAATGGACTACTTCTAATTTTTCTGATTATCTGAATTGTCAGGAGCTTTTCTTGTCTGTGTTTTTGTCCTGCTCTGGTTATACTTGCACACTCACTATGCAAGTCTGTTTCGTGAACCCCAGGAAGGATAGCTGCTGCAATGCTGTAGCTAATGAGGATCCTAATAAACTAAACTAAATATATTTATACTCGGGTAGAGGGGTGAATCACCGGAAATGTGACAGAGGAAACTGCTGTCAAATTGCTCTTCAATCGATCCAACGGAATTCTGTGGGAAACACACGAAGGTAAACGAAGAAACAGTCGAGTTTCAGCAGAGGCCCAGATGTCCTGTAAACATACACCTCTGTGACATCTGCCAAAGAGGCCATGTTATCTGATCTCTGTGTGCTGACTGCTGCACAGGGGCAGAATGATGAAGGTAAGCACCAAAGCCTCAGTATTACCAGTCCAGTAGTTGATCAAATTTCATTAGTGGTCAAGCTAAACGCTCTGCTGTCATCAGCACAGTCAGTTAAATATTAGTGTGACCCGGGTTTCTGAAGTTAGGCTGTAAAATAATGACTCAAAGCGCTTCACAGGCTCAGTGCTGCTTGTAATCATTTAACAAGCCTCCTCCTCTTTGTTGTCATGCCTGTGATCAAAGGCCACTTGACTGTGAGTCTGAGGAACTCTTTTGCTGTCAAACTCAACCATATTTTAATTCAACCATGGCTCTGCTGCACCTTTTTCTCTTTCCTTTCCCTCCTATTGGCAGAGTGCTTAATCTGTGAAAGTCATGACATTTAATGGACTTCTAAAGTGTTATTGTTATATTCTTTGTAGTTACAGCTCCACAGTTGTGAGAAATGGCAGCTTTTCTTTGACTTCTGTGATTGTAAATTGAATATGTTTGGGTTCTAGAGTGTAGTTGGACAAATCAAGACATTTCAAGACATCATTAGGGACTTTTGAAAACAGTATGTTTCACTACTTTCTGACTTTTTATAGACCAAACAATTGGTCAATTAATTAAGAACATTTTCGGTAGATGAATCAATAATGACAGAACAAATTTTCTGGAAATAAAGTTAAAAAACCAAACATTTATAGATGAAATAAAGAAATTATTTGGATGTTTTGGGCTAATTCAATTAGTTATATACCCGAAAAAATAAAAGTACTTTATCACATTGTTGCAAAAATTATGTAAATTTAATATTCCAATGAGAGATATTCCAGGGATAACTCCTAGAATAAAGAGTATAAAAAACTAGAGACGATCTTGCAAAAAAATCGGGCCAGGGGCGTAACGTGGGGGGCAATGACCACTTCCTACCCCTCTACACCCGTCTTTGAACTCTGCCTTCATTCTGATCTCAACTACACATCTGTAAAGTTTTGTGACTGCATCTTGCACAGTTCTGACGCTGCCGCAGTGACAAAATCTTTCCAGAGACAGACAGAAATAGAAACACCGGGCAAAATACTGTTTCTGTGGTCCTTCCTGCTACAGTAGGTGTGTCCAGGACCACATTTTGCCATGATGTCACACACATAGAGAACTATACCAACGGCACTGTCGCAACTGGAAATCACCGATTGTTGACAAATTGTATATATTGTCATACCGCCCGACCCTTTTTGGATGTACACTTTGTGAAACTATTATAATGTTATAATGCAAGATTGCTTAGACTGGTCTGCAGAACCACACACAGTAACAGCTTCCCCCAAAAAATGAAACATGAGGTGCAAGCAACTGGCCGAAGCACAGCGCTGCTTAATATAGTGGAAACATGATGACAGAGCAATGGAAGCTACTGAAGCTGATTCTGCTGCAGGAAACACACTGTATACATAGGTAAATGCACTGAGGTGGGAGGAAATTGGGCAGGTAGTTCAAAAGAGGGGAGACAGAGTTTGTATGCAGGCACTGTAGACACAGAAGCACACACCTCTGGTTTCCAGGTTGGTGGAGTGTAGCTGGACCTCCAAACAGCTGAATCGTCTGGTTGATGGTTCCTTCTGACCTGGAAAACACACATACACACGCACACACAAGTGTTAGCTTGGTTTCCTCCATCCTTTCCTACACAAACACACACTCTTGCATCACCATATTTTCTATCACCACTTCTTTTTCCATGCATCAACCTTACCATTTCGTTAAACATGGCTCTCTCCCAGCTGCTGTCAGGATTCATACCTGAGGAAGTGGGTGAAAACATCAGCTGACAGGCAGATATGCATAGACTGTGCAAAGATGGACAACACTGTCAGAATGTCTCTTCTGATGATTTGAAATAAATGTGTGATTTCCCCAGGAGGTGAAACAGGTTGTTTTTTCCTGTATTGGCATCCTACTGACTTTGCATTCAAACAAAAATGTATTCTATAGGCTCGATCTGCTCCTTATGGCTGGTGGCATTTGAAAATCTGTTTATTTACAGGGCGATGGGTTTGCGAGAGGAAGCGCACATGTATATGTATGAATGACAAACTCTTGAAAGCCAAATCTCAAACAGTGCTTCTGAAAACATGGCACAGACAACATTCTGCTGCAGTGACAGAAAAACAACCACACCTTCAAATGATTTCAAACTATCATCACATCCAATGCTATAAATCTAACTCACTTGATGCTTGGTAACAGGTCCCGTCACTTCAGGTGTTACAAGCTCTCTCATATTTGAATTATACAAAGCTTGTTTTGAGCGAACAATGGAGCCCAATGTCCCAGCAGAGTCCCAACTACTCCCTGTTTCTGACCACTGAACGTAACTCCAATGAGCTGCTATTATTTGGCTACTCATGTGTGGGCAGAAATCTCTGGCAGTCTAGCTGAGCAGATGCATAAATATTATTCCTTCGAACCTCTTCAGTCATCTTTCAAATTATAGGGTGCATTTTAAAAGGAGATCCTCAGTGTTGGCTTTTTTGTGGGCTTGTGGTGTCGCTGAGTGAATTGGGATTACAGCGCCAGTGGACCCAGAGTCTGTCATTACCGCCAGGGTGGAGATCTCCAAACACACACTCTTGAGACATGTGGGCCAATTTTGGCAACACACGTAATTCTAGAGTGCCGGTTAAGAAAAGCAAGAGAGGAATATTTTTATCTCCATCTGCACACATCCAGTCTTCCTACGTACCCTCTTCTGTTTCATTTTTGTCACAATATTCCCCACAGCACTGATAATGCGTTTGTTTTGTTAGTGCTTTGTTTGGTAAAATTCAAATGGCTGCAGGACTTTACTGGCTTTCAGCCTCCATACAGGACAACTATTACATCTAAACAACAAAGGGACTGGACATGTTTCATGGGGCTCTTGTATTAATATGACATTTTGGTCTGTTCTGGCCATTTTGGAGACTGTACTCTAGGTTTGGCACCGCTACTCTCCTGATGCAGCCAATTGGATGTTTCTACTGGATACTTTTTTAGAGTTAGAAGGATTTAGAAAAACACTGTTGCACATGTATATTTTAGGTGAGAGGCTTTGTTTAACAGTCAAAATGTAGTTTACACAGTCAATATATCATGTTATTTCCTGGTTATGAGGAAGAAGCATATTGCTGACAGTGTGCCAACATGTTTATCCCGGTAAGTATTAGAGACAAGCTGGTAAAAACTGCTTATTATTAACTGAACTAAATCTTGTTCTTCTCTGCTAAAGGATTATTTAAAAAATGTGGGAAAAGTGCCTAATAGAAAAAAATCATCTGCCCTCACAGTCAGCCATTTCTCCATCTGGACATTTATTAACATATAATGTCATACGTTATCTGTTCTTGAGTGCCTGTGTGAATGCAGGAAAAACAAGCATTCCCTTAAAGACTCATATCTGTAGAGATCCCTAGTAAGATATAAATGGCCTTTGCTAAGCTAATAAAAACAATATGATTATTAGTTTCAGGTCATGCACTGATTAAAGCATAGTTATGAATATTATATTCCATTGCTGCCAATTAATCCCCCTAAATGTTACACATTGTTTCTTTAAAGTCAAGGTTTGCGGCTTTGAGGAGGGCGATGGCCCCAAAAAGGGGACTCTTTTTCTTATCAATGCTTATTTTGTTCTGCACAACTATTGTGAAGTTCACAAAGAAACTGTAAATGAACAAAAAGCATAAGAGCTCTCCAGTGCGACAGGGACTTCCAGCCACCCGGCAGAGCTACGAGTGTGAGAAAAGACAACAACCAAACCTATAGTGGAAACAGTGAGAGATGTGTTGACCACATTTCTTGACCCATAATCTAGTAATAACTGTTCATTTTAAAGTAAATTTGATGTGTGTGTATGAGAGAGAGATAGAGCAAGAACTGCAGCCTTGTAATTAAGTTCGAAAAATAAAACTTTTTGCGCATGAAATTAAGTATCAAGACACACTACAGGCAGGAGGTCCAACATCTGGCTGAGTGGTGCTCGGACAACAACCTGGTCCTGAACACCACTAAGACCAAAGAAGTCATAGTGGACTTCAGCAGATCCAGGAAGACCACACCCTCTCCACTCTACATAAGTGGGGAGGAGGTGGAGAGGGTGGACAGTATCAAATTCCTGGGGCTCCACATTACTAAAGACCTCACTTGGTCCCTGAACACATCACACCTGGTGAAGAAAGCCCAGCAGAGGCTCTTCTTTCTAAGGATGCTAAAACAAGCTGGCCTGCCCCCTACACTTCTGGTAAACTTCTACAGAAGTGTGATTGAAAGCATCCTGTGTCAGTGCTTTACTGTGTGGTATGCCAGCTGAGACAGCAGAGAACAGGAGGGACCTGGCCCAGGTGGTTAAAACAGCACAGAGGATTGTGGGAGTTACCCTGCCTGACCTGGACAGTGTGTATGCTGGCCGTCTCCAGAAGAAGGCCAGAAACATCTGTACAGACATCACACACCCGGGTCACTCTGTTTGTTCCACTACCATCAGGAAGGAGATACAGGACCATCAGAACCCGGACTAACAGGCTGAGGAACAGCTTCTTGCCAAGAACGGTTTCCTCCATCCCCCCCCCCCCCCCCACACAAGTGTCTTTCATGCTTCTTTTTTTACGTGCACACTTTCCATTATTCCGCTGTTGCATCAGTTAGGTTCATTATTGAATCTAACCGCAGTCTAAATGATGCATTGCATAAACAAAAACTTGAATGGGCAAACACTTGTTGAGCAAGCCTGTCGTAACAGTGACCGGCTGGCAACCACAAACTTACTGGTATCACTGCTCCATGCTTTTACAGCAACCATCTCATGGTAGACGGCCACAGCTCCGAGCGTCAGAAGAGCAGCGAACAGGAGATATTTGCGGTTGTGCATCAAAATCTTCGCGGGGAAAAATACCGCCATCCTCTTGGCAATCAGGCGATTAATCGGTCGGGTCCACCGCTTTGTCATCAGGACACAGCCCTTGTTGAGCTCGTCCGCTATCCACTCACCGCTGCTCCTCAGTGGGTGCGCACTACCGGTGCCCTGAATATCCCCAGGGTGTGCGGCCACTGGTGGCTCTCATCCCGCAACAAATCCCACTATGACCTGGATAGACAGTTTAGTCTTTCCCAGTTTGAAAGACTAAACTGGGCACTCGAGGAGATCTAAATCCTCCTGACCTCTGCTCCGGCTAGTCCGACATGTCAGTGCACACGGAGCCGTACAAATAGCGGAATGAACTGTGAAATCTCACACCAGTTCAACTCAAAACCACTCTTATAGGGACATGGAACAGACAGAAGATGCTTGAAAAACATCGGAACTGAACTACTTCTGCCTTCAAAATAAAAGCGTGATGATGACTTAGTGGTGACAAATGAATCATTGATGTGTGCACGCACGGATCACTTGACTGAAATTCACTATATATTACCGATAGCACGTTTTGTTTAATTTATAGTTTTGTTAGTGGTGTTATATATGCCCAGTATATGTGTATACGCAAACATGTTTGTCGCTTGATACTTTATTTTGAAATATAATACCGGAAACACGTTTATGTTTGCAGCTAGTTTGACACTACTCGATCTGAGATTGAAGGGAGGAGTGATCATGGGCAGCACCCATCAGCGTTTACCTTGAGATCTACCTGTTGCACGTAGTAGTCACATCTCCGGTCAAAAACAGCCGTCTGTCAACATTTTTGTTGGTTCATGCCACTTCTCAGAGGACGCTTTAAACACAGCCCTGTTCCATTTATAACGGGTTTGACTAAAAAGTGATGGATAAACGGTTGAAACAATTTGCTTAACGTGATGGATAAACGGTTGAAACAATTTGATTAAAGTCCAGCAATTTTAAATTTCATAATTGCATTTAAAAAAAGCTCACCAAGATTTGACAGAATACAGATATGGACGGGCATTACCAACAAGCTTAGGCAGTACAGTCTGTGGAAGTGTAGTCCGTGCAATGGACCTGTCCCAATTAAAATAAACCTAAAATGTCATGTAACAAGGATATATCTGTGCAAATGTGAAATAGTTATTCAAGCCTTTGTTGAGCCATGCAAATTACTTAAAATGGTAACGTGAGCCGCATGAGCGCAATTCTGGGCGCATCTTTGCAGCTCTTTTATCCACAATCTACATTTCATCTGTCTCAAAGATTGCCATTGGTTACATTCTGACGAGACAAATAGCTGCTGTTGGTGTGTCGATCAAGCTATTACTAGTTGTTTAAAACTTGAGTAAAAGGTTAGAAGTAAGCCCCGAGGGCTACAGCCCACGAATATAGACCGATCCTAGCCTAATGTAGTTCTTAGGAATGTGTTTAAACCTCAGGCTTTGTTCAAAGTGTGTTTCATGTGTTGTTACATCTCTGTCGTTGGCAGACCCCAACCTGACTATTCTCACTGTTTTAATCATTCATGGGTACTAAAAGTTGATGTCAAATACATTCTATATTACTGGACACAAATATTTATACATAATATTTGGACATCGTGGAAATTTGTCATTGCCTCCCATCACACGGCATTAAAAAATGCTGCTGGTATGTGTCAGAAAGATTCAGCGCTGTGGTCATTTATGAAGCTGCACTTTGTTGTGTGGCAATGAACTGCGTTCTGTCAGGATCCCTGTCAGACCAGACACCTCCCATGGCCACACAGCTGCAGCCACTCCAGCCGATTACCTCCTGCAGGCTGACACACCAGACTCAGGTCCCACTAACGCTTTCCCTGGCACTATATAAACTCTGGTCCTGCAGTCTGGGGTTGTGAGGTCGTACCGTCTTTCACCCGCTTCAACCCCATTGCATCTTCTGCCTCGAGCGCCTGCCTCCGGTGTCCGTCGGTCCGGGAATTCCCCGTGCCCTCCGTGGTGTTAACGGACTACACGCCGCCGCTCTGCCCTCCGTTGTGTTAGCAGACTACACACGCCGTCAAGCTGCCAGCTCTCCGGTGTCGAGCCACGGGCTCCTGCACTGAGCTGCACTGACCTGCACTGAGCACTCACGATCAACTGTCCTGATGTACCGGTGCCCTGGATATCCCCAGGGCGCGCGGCCACTGGTGGCTCTCATCCCGCGTCAAATCCCACCATGACCTGGGGTAGCCGGTGATCTAAACTGAGCACTCAAGGAGAACTAAATCCTCCTGACCTCTGCTCCGGCTAGTGACTAGTCCAACATTTCAGTGCACAGGAAGCCGTACAAGCAACGGAGTGAACTGTGAAATCTCACACCAGCTTCACTTCACACAACTTCATGAGGACATGGAACAGATAGAAGATGCTTGAAAAAGATCACAGCCGAACTTATTTTGCCTTCAAATAATTAATAGCGTGATTATGACTTAATGGTGAAAAATAAATCATTGATGCGTGCATGCGCACATAGTTGTGACTGAATATCTTCAGGTTCACTGTATATTACCAATACAACTTTTTAAATAACTTGCAGTTTAGTTAGTATTGTTGTAGACCCATTTTACAGATGTATTAAATGAAAACATGTTTGAGATGCGAGGCTTGAACATTATGTAGCTCGCACACTCAGCCAAATGCATTGTGGGAAGCTTCGATTGGTAATCCGTCGTAGCACCCGGGCACCACAACCCCCCCCCCCCACCAAGACCTTTGAGAGTGATGTTATGGATTAGGTTAGATAGTAAGGATGGCTGGAGTAAAGTATGAGATGAAGTAGCTGCTGGGAGGGCTGTGGAGGAGGGCTGGGTGTAATTGCTGGAAGTGGAAAGCTTGGGGCCCTGGTATTCCGGTGCCACATGCCCGAGCAAGAGCTCCTGTGGTTGCTGTAGTAGGCAACGAGCATTCAGGTTCTCCTGACAGTTCTGGCTGGTATGTGCCAGGTTCCCGTCCCACTCGCTGCTAGAGTGGAGCAGTCACTCAAAACACGGGAAGCGGGATAACCAATGAATAAGCGGGAACCAATGGAGACACCGACGAGTGTCGTTGAGACAGCCGGTAGCTACGCTCGCTAAACGAGACTGAATAAGGACGTCTGGTCCAGGGATAACTACAAATTACCGCAATGACAATACATTTATGTATCATCGTGTCAGCTTACGTAGCCTAACTACATGCGTTATATATATATTGTTGAAGTAGCTCGGTCTTGTACTGTAAACTACTTAGGTGTCGTTCCCTCTGGAAAATAACAATGTCAGGAAGTAAAGTGACATTTTTGTATCAACCTGACAAAATTACGTTCTTGTGGAAAGAAAAGAAAAGGAAACACTGTAACTTCTTTACATTCTATTTGAATGTAACTTCTTTACATTAGAATGTAAAGAAGTTACATTGTATTAGAATGTAGCTTCTTTACATTCTAATAGAATGTAAAGAAGCTACAGTGTATAGGGAGTGACCTGGTTGACGCGCTCGTTGTACGTCTAGATTACCTTTGATGTGCGTTGCATTAGGTACATCATCACAGACAAGTTTGTTGAATGAGAGTTCGTTTATTTCCCTCAGCGTGGAACAACGTAAAGACAGTCCCGTTCCTTCCACCGACATTAAACGCACCAGTTGCATAAAGACATCACTGTTACCGTAAATCGGTATTAGGCAATCAAATAATTAGGCACACAAGTTAACTCTCAAGGAATATAATGGTAATTACTTATATACTGTATACCACCACGCAAGCAAACCAAGGACATAGAGATAGCTCCAGTTGCTCAAAAGAATAAAAAAAAACCTCCCAGCTGAGTAATCACTACACCTCCCTTTCTGTGTAAACCTGGGTTGATAGTTTATGTCACAAAACAAAGACGCTTCAAAAGAAAGCAAACATCCAGCCGACAATAACTCAAATACAGCCACCTGTAGAGAAAACAACCGTTCTTGGCAGTTATCACACTGTAGACAGAGCACATCCGTAAACTGACACCGGTGTCCCTGTGAGAGAGCTGGAGGATCAGATCAGATCCCGTCTGTCCTTGGAAAAGAAGACTCTGACCTCATGACAGCTGCAGGTACACACTGGGTCAAATAATTAAAACTGTGCAAAAACACATTTTACACTATAGGGTCTTTTTCAAAATACACAAAAGCCTCAAATAGAAATGCTTACACGCTGATGCCGTTTAATCCTATTTTGTGGACAGTGGTCTTTTAGTGCATCTCCAAAGCCATTTAGTGCTGCCTCTAGCAATGTTCCCATTATTATTCAATAACTTTACTTTGAACAGTGCAAAAATCATTGATACACAATATAAAGAAATTAAAGGCGACATTATTTTGACCTTGGAAGTTCTGCTTTAAATAGTTTAATTGTACGATTTACCAATTCACTTTTTGCTTGTCGACAAATCATCTAAAATGTCTAGTAAACATTTGAAAACTAAGAATGAGTAATATCTCAATTTCAGTCAGAGTTAATGCAATGAATTCAATCTGAAGCTCAAACTGGGCTTCAAATGTAAATACAAACTGTATTCTCATTATTTAAATCAATCAAAACAAGTGCTGTAAATCAATGTATTAAAAGTTCCATATCATGGTGTAAAAAATTGGCTGGATTAATCGCTCCTGTGAAATACCAACTGTCAGCAGATTCCTTATTATATTTGACAGGTTCCCAGTTTTTTTCAAGACAGGGCAAGGGAAAAAAAAGAACACACAATATCAAATTGTAGCTATTCTTTATTATATACTTCTGTCAGGGCAGACCAAGCAGTGACCCTTCCAGAAGACAAAGAAACTCAACACACAATCCATGGACCAGTTTTAAACTAACCCCCCTAATTCAGCTTCTGCCCCACTCTACAGGTGCTGTTGACTGACGGTGAACAGGGCTGACATATTCTTATCCTGGCGTACCATCTTCAACAGCCTGATTCCAACAGGCTATACAAGCACACGTTCATTCATGTATTTTTTTTTTTTTTTTTTTACAGTAAATTAAGACTAATTTTTATTACTTGTGTGTCCAGGAGAGGCTAATTCATGTCATTTCTAGCTGCTTTAAAATGTACGTATTCCAGTTAAGTCATTGGTTGTACTCATCATCTTGAGAACAAAGAAGTCACAAGCACAACACCAGAAAAAGAAAAGTACAAAGTCAAGGTAAACAGTCATGTAACCTGGGGGTTATAGAGGAGCACCGTCTTTAGATTAAGAAAGAAGCGGAAAGTTTGATAGCTATTCCAGGTTAACGTCTTATTACTCCACCTATCCACAGTGCTGCTACATACGTACTTTGGGACTCAGTCACTCTCACATTCAGACACGTATCTATGCACACGACCATCCCAACTCCAGGAATTGATCAGTAGGCCCATGAGGAGTGTTCAATGGATAACATAATACATGAAGGGTAGAGGACAGGGGGTAGTGCAAGGTGAATGGTCTAGCCCTTGACGGGTGAAATTCTGCTCTTAACACTTGGATACACTTTTATCCTACCCAAAGCGCTGTGACAACACATGCACAGTTCAAAGCTGCGGGTTGAGAGGTTTCAGGGGTGGGGTTGTTGTGGCACATGATTCATTTATTAAAACCACGTCCCATGGTGCTATCAGCTGGAGAAGCCCCACCCAAGCTTGGGTGGCCGCTAAAGCAAAGAGCCCGGGGGACAAATAGAGCCATCGGAGACGCTCCTAAAGTCAGTGCTCTCGTTGACATGCTCGATCTCACACATGTACACACACACACACACACACACACGCGCACACACACACACACGGCTGAAGTTACAAAAGTCTGAAGCACAGATGAACCGCAATAGTCGCATCTTTATCTACGCCTATGCTTCGCTGGCAACTTCCTTTTCTCCGTTCTCAACTTCCATCCCATCATCGTCGCTCGCCTTTCCCTCACCCTTCACAGTCTCTGCTTCCTTCTGTTCATGAAGAAAAAGAAAGAAAGAAAGCAAAAGAGAGAGAGATAGAGCAAGAGAGAAAAAAAGAAAACATGAATCAAGTCGGGATTTTTACTTCAGTCCCTTTGAAAATCTAAACGCATGTTTATCACACCGCCACGTGGCCGTTTTTAGAAAGCACAATCCTTCACCTTTGAATCCCTATCTGCAAATTTCTGGAACATGTTGGCGTAGATGCGTTTGTCCTTCTCGTGCTGCTCCTTGATTCGTTTCTGACAAAGGCTCACCTAGCAGAATACAACGGAGAGGTCAGACAATCGTATTTTCAGAGACAGCGCAGTAAAAGAAAATATATATAATGACGGTCTTCAGAGTTTTACTGCTCTTCTAAAACCTATTCGACATGAGCTATTATTTACAATATTTATTTTACACAGGAAAAGGGAAACGTGCTCATTTGCAAAAAAAAAAGCCAATTTCTTTTTTATGTTTGTGACATATTCCACAGATTTCGACAAAGACACTTTAGTGAAATGTATCATATTTCTAGTATGATGTCAATATGACTTAAAAGATAATTTTTACTTTGTATTGTTGCCGAGAACTGCGCACGTCATGTCGAAAACAATAAGCAACATCCTGAATCTCAAAAAGGACACATTCATTTAACTCCCTGAATGTTGTTTTTTTTTAAAAATTTTTTTATTATTATTATTATTTGTAACAAACTCGTCCTGATGGTAAAATGTAGGAAAACAAGCCCAGTTTTAAGGGATCCTCTTTAAGAAACACTGCTTTATACCTGGCTCTTGGCAGCCTTGTTGGCAGGATACAGTTGAGCAACCTGCTGGAAGTCATCTCTTGCCTTGTCAAACTCCTTCATACCAAACAGTGCCTCTCCCCTTCGGAACAAAGCCTTCTCATTCGATGCCTGCAGGTCCAGAGCCTACAATTGTGAACAGAGTACAGAGAAATATTACAGTATTAAAGTAGCATATAAAAAGACATTTTTAAGTACAATACTCAACATAAAAATACCTAACAAGTCTTTAACCTGCCAATTACTGAAGAAATTGTCCACAAATTGTTCAAATGTGTTAACAATAGACATTAAATACCTTGTCACAGTTTTCTAGGACTTGATTTGGCTCCTGTAGTTTAAGGAAGCACATGGCTAAATTCAGATGTGCTGCCAACCGCAAAGCTTTGGCCTTATTTTCATCCTCCTCTGACAAACCAGACTCGTGTTCCAGCCATGACACGATCCTTTTGTACTGCACTGATGCCTGCTTGTATTTTCCCTCCTGAAGCATATGCAATAAGTTCATTAGAAAACATGACTTTACAGCGGTGTGCTGTGTGCTGTGTTAATACCCGACTGCTCACCTTAAAATACTGGGTTCCCTTGTCTTTGACAATGCTGCTCTGTTCCAGCTTCTCTACCGTGTTCATCTCCCACGATTCCTTCGCCTAAAGAAACCGAAACACACGAATCACTTCCTGGAGGGGAGAATGTTGCTGGACACAGCAGACATGTAACTGACCAGCTAAAGCCAAGTTGTGTTCAGAAGATCGGTTTACCTTCTCAAAGGCCGTCAGCTTGATTTTGTATTGCAGTGTCGCTCCACCAGGAATGTTATACTTGGCATTGCCTGCATTACCAAAGCCGTATCTACAAATCAAAAAACACGTACAATTAATTATCTCAAGCATATCAGCGTTATCTGTTGCAGTTTGAATCAAAACAGCATTGCAAAAGAAACACGCTACCTTCTAGAGTAGATTGAACGATTGTGCTGCTTAAGTTCTTTCATTGTTATACATTAGTCTAAACACAAGCCCAATTCAACAATTCAGTTTGAGAGATGAACACATGAATGATCTGATGAAAGAGAAACATACAAACTGTGCATCTGATCATACTTAGGCTTAATATTGAAGAGGGCCTCCTCTTCCTGCTCCATCGCCATTATAGCTTTCTCCACTCCAACTGGGAAGCCAAGACCCTCTCCATCTCCGACCTCAAACTTCAGTTCTCTCTCGTCAAACACGCGGCCCTCACAGGAACCCACCACAATTACTGAAGGGGAGGAAGAATGCGACGGTTAGGGGGTTTGTGCTACAAATGAGACTTGTTGGCATGCAGTAGACTGACAGCTCTGAGGTTTATGACACCTGAGGACTAGTGATTTCCAAACTGTCTAAATATTTAGCTTTGTTAACGCAAATATATCACAGCAAAATGATACTTACTTGGATATGGATGTATGCTGTGAACAATTGTAATCAGCAGGTTGGATTTAAACAGTTACAATAGACTCCAGTAGGGACCAGATATCATGGTGAGGTAAAAAAGAAGCAAAATTCCTCAAATAATCCACTTTTTTTCAGTCCCTATCTATATGCTCATGTGTTATAAACACTGATTTATGCCAAAACATTACTTATGTACTATATCTGTCTCAATCCTCACATACGACTCCGTCAGGTTTGGCAGCAGGTAGATGCACCGTTCTGCATGTTGCTGCAACTTACCGCAGAGAATGACGGAGAACAGGAAATACAAACCAGGAAGTCCAGTTTAAAGGCACTTCAGCAGTTTGTGCTAATTTGAGGATTTTTGTAACTCGTGAAAGTTGCATTACAATTGGCTCTTCCGTCTCAGTGCTTGTGAGGTAAATCGTACATATTACAAGGTGTTGGACCTGCATTTAAAAAAAAGTTCTTGTGATAAATATAACTTCATGCTGACTCCAGCCTCTGCTCTCCAGGGAGGACGAAACTAAAAACGCTGTGCAGCCGCCTTTCAGGCCTACACGGGCGAGTGTTTGATACTCGGAAGACAAATTAGAGTTTGTCATTTGGGCATCAAATAACATAAAATTTTAAATGTGCAAACTTTTCTGTAACAGCACACTATTATCTACCATAGCCTACCTATCTTAATCTAACCGATTTTTGCAAGTAAATTCATGGCTTAAAAATCTATTTGCAAATACAGCCTCATATATTTACTGAGTTTTGGTCTGACGTGTTGGTTGAAGCTTAATAAAGAACGTAGACTAACATTTCTATCGTTAGAAACTTTACTACATAAATTATACTATTATAATCACACACAGTAACATCTTTTTTCTTCAACTTTAGCTGAGAAATAGCCGTCTCTGGATGTGTTACCGTCCACAGAAGCTCCTTCGTTAGGCTTGGAGTATCCCTGCCCTTTAGTGATAATGCGCCGGATGATTCCTCCATCCTCCTCCTCGGTTACGTCCTCGCCTCGAAATTCAAACAGTTCCACCTACAAGTGTGCAGATGTGTAAATTAATATTTAACACCCATAAAGGATCATGGTGTACAATTCGTGAACAACAACAAACAAACAGGGATGAAAGTATAAAATGGATAATCAGCGTTACCCGATATCACTGACGCTTACCTCAAAAACAAGTGTGGCGTTGGGGGGGATCTTGGGCGGACTGCCTGCAGATCCATAAGCATACTCTGGCTTACAGATGAGCTGGCACAACTCCCCCACTTTCATGGTGGCCACACCGATGTCCCATGCCTTTATTACTTGACCTAGACACAAAGAAGACCGATTACCGACATGCGCTGTGCAACTATGACAGCTGAACGTCTCCGTCAGATATGAAACCAACCTTTGCCCAACTCAAAGGAGAACTTCTCTCCTCTGTCTCTGCTCGAGTCGAAATGAGAACCATCCAGAAGTGTGCCAACGTAGTGTACAAACACTTTGTCGCCGGTCATGGGCAGCTCTGTGCCCGTGCCTTCCCTTTTCACCAGCTGCAAAACCAAGAAGATGATTTGTCAAAAAATAATGATGAAGGGACGTTAAAAAAAAAAACTGTTCTCACAGCAACAGATATACGCCACCTGTGTACACACACTGCTGTCTGGTACTTTGCATTAGACAAAGCTGCCGAAATCCTTTGTGAATGAACGTGAGCTGTAAACCCCTGCGCGTGTGGGTGTGAATATAAAATGTCCCCATGAGCATGAATAGTTTGAGCATTAAGAATCTCTCCAGGACTCCAGAGACTTCTAGAAGTGAGGACGGTTGAAACGGCTGATTAATTATCCACGTTGTGCACACCCAGAAGTTGACGTTTAGCTATGAGACCAATGGTAGGAAACAAGACACGTAGTGTTACCGTGTTGTCAACATTGTGCTCCCATGAGCCGTGTATTAACAGCGCACGCGTTAAATTCGCTAACAACGGCTAACGTTAGCACATTTGAATGAGTAACCAACAAGCAGCCAGCTAACCACTCAGCTAACGTTAGCTGGAGTTAAAAACACAATCACTTACCTTTAAAACACCCCCGTCTTTCTTCGGTGTGATGTCCTCTCCCTCCATTGGGATGGCGTGTTGTCCTTCACTCATCTGCTCCTCTGCAGTCATCGTCATGAAGCAGATGTATCCCTCCTAACGTTACTCCTGCACCACAATTTTAAAATGAGCACCGGCTTCAGTAGTGGTGGCTAAAGCTAACTATACTTCTGAAACCACGCAGTAGGAGACACCCTGTCTCACGTCAACGATAGCTAGCTAGCTAACGCTGGGTAAAGCTGTTGGCTAGCCTTACGTACTTGTAAGTGCTATTGAAGTAAAAACTACACGGTACAGTTTCCAGCTAGCTGCGCTGAGACCCTGCTATCGCCGTGCACCAGTCACACTTCTATCTATATTGATAGTAGAGTACGAGCTATCGGTTAGGTTACTTCCAGTCCACGTTGTGTTGCAGTGTGGCGTCTGACAAGCGCTTAAAAAAGGGCAGAGAATTTTCTAGACTCTCTAGGAGGACCTGGGGGTTAAACCCGCGTAGGTGGCGCTTCTTATACTATATAAGCATCTCCCGGAAAGGCGGTGCACTTATGAAGAGCTGAGCCAATGCAACATTTAAAGATATAATATGCCATCACATAGATAGTTACTAGTGTACCTAGTTAAAATATTCTGTAATAACTCAATAGTCCCGCGTTAAAGGACGAATATAGTCCATACGTGTACATAGCACCGAACACGCAAGCACAGCACAAAATAAAACATGCGCTCTTTGGTTTATCTTGCTCCCTATTGGTCAGAATCCGCCCCCACTGCTGTCTGTTGGCGCGGTTGTTGAATAGCCGGGAGTTTAACATAACCACAGAGTAAAATCTATTTTCTGAGGAATATCTGCGGGTAAGTAGTTATTATATGACAACCGTAAGAATCCAGCTAATAAGCGAATAGGTTATGAGTTAGCTAGCCATGAATCCGAGACAGCTATTAATACAGATTTCCTCTCAAGGCAACTTGAAAGCTCGCAGTGACGACCAATAAAATTAGCAGCTTGACATAACACGTAGCTCTTTATTTAAACGGAGAGTTACTTCGTCATGACTTTAACGTTAGATTGATCTGCACATGAGCAGAATCCAATCCAAAAGCAGAATTCGGCGCCTGTCCGTCTGGCTTTGTAATGTTAGACACAACATCACAATCAGGAGGTGAAGCTTGTAGCTAATACAAGCCAGTCTAAACACACTGTGTGTGTGTGTTTCTGTTGATCAAGGGGCTCCTTTGTTAACCCTGATGTCACCTCTCAGGGAGGTTCATGAACATGGAGAATGGCAGGGCCCAATTTCCATTTCCCTACCAGCCCTATAACATCCAGGAGCAGTTCATGCAGGCCCTGTACAGTGCACTTGACCAGGGCAAAGTTGGAATCTTTGAAAGTCCAACTGGAACGGTGTGTATGTTTGCGTGTATATAAGAGAGATTTACAGCAAGAGCCGTTCGATTTTATTGATGATTTTGTGTGTTTTTCTTTTAACATATATGTCCTTCAACTCAGGGCAAGTCTCTGAGTCTAATATGTGGAGCTTTGAGCTGGCTCAGAGACCACGAGGAGAAGAGCAGACAGGAGACGGCTGCTCTGCTGCATGAAGGAGAAGCAGCTCTTTCCACTTCTGCTGCTCCGGCCTCCGCCACGAGCTCCTCAGCAGAGCCGGACTGGATCACTGATTTTGTTCAGAAAAAGGCAGAGCGTGACTTGGTGTCAAAGTTGAAGGTAAGACTATCAATGTACTTCAGATGTGTCTTTGGCATCGGATCTCTGGGAACTTCAACATCTCACCTGCTCAGATTTTGAATATTATCGGATGTGTTTTTTTTTTATGTGTCAGGAAGAAGAATTGAAAAGAAAGAAGAGGGAAGAACGATTAGAAATGATCAGAAACAATGTTCAACTTAAGTATGCAATGAAAAGAAAAGTAAGTGGTCCTGCACGGTGGCATTTACAATCACTAACTCAAGAATCTACAACTTCATAAATACATGTATGCGTCTGTAGAGCTCTGAAGACGAAGAGGCATTCAAATTGCTCCACCTCAGTACAGAGGAAGAGACCGAGACACAAGGCGACCAAGAGGACGAGGAGCTCATCATTGCGGAATATGAGAGTGATGACGAGTCAAAGACAAGGAGCAGGTGAGCGCAGCCTCCGATTATTGATTGGTTACCAATCATATCGAATGTTGTGACGGACATGACAGCAGGGTGTGTTTGCTCTCGTGCTCAGATTTTGTGGTGCTGAGGATGACGCCGACGACGAGCTGGTTGAAGAACATGTTACTAAGGTGTGTGAGAGAGAGAGAGATGTCACATTGTAACTTTAATAACTGTAAGGGTGAGTGTCATGCATTACATATGCGTGTTCTCAGATTTACTACTGCAGTCGCACACACTCCCAGCTGGCCCAATTTGTCCATGAGGTTCAGAAGAGCCCCTTCAGCAAGGACATCAGTCTGGTCACACTGGGCTCACGGCAGGTATGTGCACGCACGCACGCACGCACACACA